CTCTGTGAGCAGCCACGCTCTGACAAACAGGCTCCTGTCCTCTTGTGAGGAGAGCACCTCAGAACGGGGGCACCATACTTCATGGTGGGCGTGGGTTAGGCCGAATTGGCCTATGATGGTGACAGATGCTCTCCTCCTGCTTCTCGCTCCCAGGAGAAAAGGAGGAGACATAAAAAGATTTACAAGGTTAGAAGGAACTAAACTACTTTAATGAAATATTAATAATAAAATGAGAAAAAAATGATGAAATGGATACAATATATACAAAACTGTATCAGGCTCCCAGGATGACTTCACCGGCGGGCACTGGGGTCCCAGTCTGGACTGGACTCAGTGACGGATGGGAACTGGGTTCCAGCTCTGGAGTCAGGAATGCTCAGATCGGGATCAAAGGCAGAGAAATAGACAGAGTCCTCTTTGGATGTCACACATTAAAGGAAGAGCGTTGACCCTTTGATCCCTCAGCTTTATACTGAGCATGGGGCAGATGGGATGGAACACCCTGTGGGTCAGGCTTGGGTCCCCTCTCCTGTCCCCTCCTCCCCACAGGTGGGACCCCTCTGCGCTTTTCTGTTTCCAACCCTCTAACGGGGCAAATAACGAAATTGGCTGCCCTTGGCTGTTACAGCAATAAGTATAAGCAGGAGCTTCTCTGCACACCGTTCCCTGGCATGAAGTACAAACATTGGTCGTATCACTCTAAAAGAGAACAGTTTTCTCCACAACATGCTGTTAATTCCAGAGAGTTAGAAGAGGCTGAAGAAGTAAAATTACTGAACAGAAAGTCGGTTCAAGTTTCCCTCAAACCAGGACAATAATTTCTTTCAAAAATAGCTTACATGCCTTGTAGAAAACAGAGCAGGATTTCCTGATCAAAACACAAAACTACCAACATGTCATGCCTTTGCCTGTTCTTGATTAATTTTTTTTTTCATATTTGAAACGTGAAATTTAAGAGCATTTTAATGTCAGATGTCTAGAATGACTGTGCTGTGCCTCACGCAAGTAACTGCCAGCTTCTGAAAAACCAGTAATTGTAATGCCCTTCTCTCCTTGCAGTAAATGGATTTAAGTATTCACATGGCTGGGTAAATTAGGCTGGGTAGATTATTCATACATTGCTGGTAGAGATAGTAAATTGTTGCTATTAAAAAAATAAAAAAAGCACTGAAAATCTTCACAGTCCTTTAGCCAACAGTAGTGCAGTAATATGACATAGCTGAATTTGGCAAGGCACGAGTAAGTGACTTCCTCTGCAGGGTACAGTGGCAGTGAGAATTTGAAGGATGTTTGAATTGTTTTTCTAATTTTGCATGCAAATATTGGCATTGTGTGATACTGAATACCTTCAGCACTTGTGCAGTAGGGATTACTTTGCTATTGGTGTGGCTTCTGTGAAACTAAGGGCGGGATTTTTTGATTACGGTCTGCTGGATTTGGTTTGAAATGCACATGTTTTATTTGCAGAAGAGTCAAATATGAATTTTAATTGTGTTCCTTTACTGCTTTGTTATACTTAAAGTTTCCATTAGTTTTGGAGTGAGCACTTCAGATTTGTTCTTTTTTTTAAATCAAGTATTATTATTATTTGATAAGCATACCTTTCTCCTCAGAAGTAGGAAATTGCCTTACCCTCGAAGCAGAGTTCATCTTGTCCAATGTAACCATGTGCAGACCAGGTGTTGAGCCTAAGCCCCCTAATTCCAACTTTTTCCTAGTCAATAAAGAACGATGAGTAATTCTGGAGTCCTTTGTCCCTCAAATCTGTCTCAGAATTTTCACACTGAAAATACCTCCATTCAGTATCCAGAGTTGAAATAATGATGTTTGTCTAGGTACGAAACCATGGCTGAAAGGAGATAGGATGAACACCCTCATGTAAGTGATAGTCAATTCTTGGTGCTGTGACAGTGGATTGGCACTGTTTTTATGAAAATGCAGTGTTTGACAGGATGGAATGGGATACTCTGGGGTGTCCTGTGGATTTACAGTTTCAGTTTCCAATTTCAGGGAGGAGAACATTGCTACTATCAGGGAGAAATTCGAGGAAACCCTGTATCATTTGTTGCCTTGTCAACATGCCATGGATTACAGTAAGTCTAATGTTTTGTTTTTACTGGCCTTTGCTTATTAGTCTTTTAAGGAAAATAAAGCCATTTATAGAAAAATAAATGTTATTTATTTTCCTACTAATTTGTCACCAATTTTAAGTACTCAACAATCTTTAGAAAAAATGCATTTAATTTGAACCTTGCAAAAGCCTTGCTTGTTTTCAGAATTCACTGAGAAAGCAGTCAAGGTTTTTTGTTTTGTTTTGTTTTTTTAAACTGAGTCATATGACAGTGGCCAGGTTTTGCTTTAAGATAATTTATTGTAGAGAGAGAAGAGTAAAAGTACCTGAAAACATCCTATTCTACAAGAATAAAAAACACTACCAGTATTGACATGAACCATTTGGAATGTGTGTTCTTTTCGTGTTGCTACAATGATGTATTTTATCTTTTCTACTCTCTTTACAAAGGAAATTGTCAGTTAAGAGTTTCTCTTGTCCTATCTATTTTCTTCACAGAATTGCTGACTTTAAGCAGTGTGCATGGGATAATACCTCTGATATAGTAAAATCTTGGGCAATCTGCAAGAAAGGATATAAAATTGTGCAACAGTACTTTTTAAAAAGTACATAATTTTTGGTGATAATGTAATTAAAGTGTCTGTTATCTGAAGGCCACATGGAGCTGTGTATTGATTGTATGGCTTTTGGACCTGACTATTTTTGGCACTATTGAAAGATGCTAGTCAGGTTTTCAGAACAACCAAGTAACTTCAGTGGCTGTTGAATCTGGGAGTTACGGGGTCTCAGCGCTTTTGATACTGAGATCAGCTTGAAAAGTCACAACAGCAAGTGAGCCTGGGCAGAGATGGCGTGAGCTTTTCCTTTTTCTGAGGAAGCAGGGTTTAGCTGATGGAAATCTTCAGCTCATTGTCTATCTCCAATTTCTCTGCAGTTTTGGTTTCGGCCATATAAGTACACATATTGAAGCAGCACCTTTCTTTTATATTTGTATATTCTTTGTTAGGAAGGCGGAGAATGCATGCAGAAGGCCTGTCATCCTCGCACTTGTCTGGTTTACAGCTGTGTTTATCTCTTTTATGATCAAGGTTGAGCAGCTCCAGAAACCTGAGCCCAGTTTCAGTATGGACAGTGAGCCTAAAAATAGTAGCATCCTAATGCATCCTGTGCCACTGCATGGCTTCCATTAGCAGTGATCCATTAGGTCTTGGCCCCTGCTACCTCCCAGGAGAAAAAGCAGAGAGGAAGGAGAGCCTGCATATGTCCTTTCCTGCCCTCCTTTTGTGAGTTTCTTCTTAAGTCTGACCCTCCTGCTGCTTTGTATTCTTAAATTTCCTGATACTCAGGTTGGCCCCTTCTAACACAGTTATGTCATGAAAGATGCATTTTTTTCCCTGTATAATTCTCCCTTGAGAGGGATCCTTCTCCCCCCTCCTTCCCCTCTTTTTCTCATACAGCAAAGTTTCAGCACAGTTACCCTTCACACAAGATGCAATACGAAGCTTACTATAGCAGGCTGGGAATTCCAGCATCCAGTATGAGAAAGTAATGTTTTCCTGAGCTGTATTAAACTCACATTCTCTGACACTGCATTTCCATCATTACAACTAGCTCCTCCACAGTCAATTTTAAATGCAAAGTAATTACTAGAAACTCATGCTGACAGTCAGAACTCCTTAGTTCCAACCACGGTTCCCAGTGTCTCGCTGGCTCAAAGGAAGCTGGGGAGAGTTATCTTCTAATAAGGTCTGCAGAGCAGGAGCTTTGCTTTTAGGAAGTGCATAAAACAGAACAGATCCCTTTAATAGAATAACAAGCTTCATATTCCCACAGTTCACACTAATCTCCTCTCTTACTTATTAGTACCCCTAGATCTCCTCCAGTAACAGCAGGTTTTTTTATGCATGTGAGAAAATGTTGTGGTTTTAAAATCATAAATTATGAGTTCTTCGGTTGATAATGTCTATGTTGTGGTCTTCCTTTTATTAGTTAATTTAACTGGCTGACAGAATACTTAATATTTAGTTATATAATAACTTAAATAAATATAATAAACTTAAAATATAATGATATAAATACTTAACATACTTATGAATTTCTTCTCTTGCTGACTTTGAAAAATGTAGCTCTGCAACCTGAAGTCCAAGTGAGCCATTTTGTTTGGATTTCTTTTGTTGTTGCCTGTGGGACAGGCAGTAACCAGAGTTTCCTATGAGTTAACACAAAAAGCTTTGAATGCGAACCAGATTGGTTGCTGGGAGATCAATAAGCCATCGGGGGCAGGGCCGGCAGCACTGGGCTTGGGCGAGTGGCACGGACGGCAGGTTGGTCTGTGATTGTGCTGCCCACTGGTGGTGAATGGAAAAACTGCTGTTATTGCTGCCAATGAGACACCGCTACGGATTTGTTTGTTTGAAGAAGATTTCACTGAATTTTAGAGTTGGAAGGGACCATAGAGATCATCTAGTCCAACTCCCCTGCTGAAGCAGGATTGCCTAGAGCTAGAGCATGTTACTCAGGAGCATCCAGGCGGGGCTTGAAAATCTCCAAGGAAGGGGACCCGGCACCCTCCCTGGGCAGCCTGTTCCAGGGCTCTGTCACCCTCACTGTGAAGAAGTTTCTCCTCATATTTGAGTGGAACCTCTTATGTTCCAACTTGTGCCTGTTGCCCCTCGTCCTCTCACTGGGAACCACTGAAAAGAGTCTGGCTCCCTCCTCCTTCAACCCTCCCTTGAGATACTTGTAGGCATTGATAAGGTCTCCCCTCAGCCTTCTCTTCTCCAGACTAAAGAGTCCCAGCTCTCTCAGTCTCTCCTCATAAGGGAGATGCTCCAGTCCTTGAATCATCTTTGTTGCCCTTCACTGGACTCTTTCTAGTAGTTCCCTGTCCCTCTTGAACATAACAATTCAGGTTTTTGAAATGGCCCATGTTTTGCTGTTGCTCTCTTCTCTGACATGTCTGCAAGAGTGTGATTTGTTCGCCGAGCACTGGGCTATCGAAGTTGGTTGGAAAAGAACTCTGAGTGATTTGAGGGGGCAAGTCACATCTGTAGGTTCGCCGTGACTGTTATTCTTGTCACCATGGAGTGACTTGATGAGAGGTCGGTGCCGCTGGGTGCAAGAGTCGCACGAGACTCGGCACTGGTGAGGCCTCACCTCGAGGGCTGTGTCCAGTTTTGGGCCCCCTACCATAAAAAAGACATCGAGGTGCTGGAGCGGGTCCAGAGAAGGGCGACAAAGCTGGTGAGGGGTCTGGAGAATAAGTCTCATGAGGAGAGGCTGAGGGAGCTGGGGGTGTTCAGCCTGGAGAAGAGGAGGCTGAGGGGAGACCATATTGCTCTCTACAACTCCCTGAAAGGAGGGTGTAGAGAGGTGGGGGTCGGTCTCTTCTCCCAAGTCACAGGCGACAGGACAAGAGGAAATGGCCTCAAGTTGCACCAGGGGAGGTTCAGGCTGGATATTAGGAAAAATTTTTTCACTGAAAGGGTTCTCAGGCATTGGAATGGGCTGCCCAGGGAGGTGGTTGAGGCCCCATCCCTGGAGGTGTTCAAAAGCCGGGTTGATGTAGTGCTGGGAGGTCTGGTTTAGTGATGATGCTCCTTGTTTGTTGTGTGGGTGTCTATTTTTGTCAGTGAGGTTGACGGTTGGACAAGATGATCTTTAAGGTCCCTTCCAACCTAGAAGATTCTGTGATTCTGTGATCAGTTTACCGTTTACTGATGGCGCTTCATTTTGTAGACCGTGCTTAAGTAAAATTGCAATTGGAGGGAAGGAATTTTTTGACCGATTCACAGCTTCAGGATATTGCCCAAACTCATCTTATTCCCAGGCAAAGAAGCTTTCAGCAGGTGCTAGAATATTTCTTTTAAGCTGCATAGCCAGTATTTATTTCTAAAGAATAGGCACAGGTAATTTGAAAGGTGAAACAACAAATTGTAGCTGTACTGATGGTCACACTTGCTGTATGTTGAACAGTCAATAACCTGCTCTGCTCCCGTGAGTGCTACCTGGTTAACCCCATACGTGGATGATATTAAGAGCCGTGTGCTCAGCAATAGCTGTAATAGTTTACGAGCTTAATATATGCTTATATTTCTTAATAGTCAGGAAAAGAATGACAGCATTTTACAGACTGCATCTGGTCCTGTGCAGAACCAAAATCAATTTTGCTGATTAAAAAAAAAAAAAAAAAAAAAGCAGCTGCATAAGAAAAAATAAAGGAATAAAGGTATCTGGTTTTGTTGTTTATAATTCCGGTGGGGATTTTTTGATGCCTGAAAGTTTGCTGAACAGTAATCTAGATAAATAAATAATCTTGCTTTCATGCTGCTGGCGTGTAGTATGTGCCAAGTTTGAACTTACAGCTCATATTTATGTCCAAGATTAAAGCTCTTAGTAGTGGCACTTTGAAAGGGTCATGCTGATATAGCCTAATCCAAACCATGTGTGTGTGCCACTGCGATAAAGGCAAAATTATTTTAAAATATTGCTGATTTGGTTGAAGATCAGAATGGTAGTGATATAAGAAATGCCCTTTGGTTTTATGCTCTTACAGAGTAATGTCTATTGCAATGCTTTCTTTTAAGGTGCAATTCTACCACACTTGTGCATCCTGCATTGTGTTAAAGACAAAACCCCAGTACACTCTTTACATAGGTAAACTTACGGTAACTTTTAATAGAAAACATCCTTGCAGGAATGTGTTTGCTGTACATTCGAGTGGTAACACAAAAGCATCTGGTGTTACTCTCACAGACTAAGGGAGCTTTAGCAGTTCAATTTATTCTTCATTTAAAGTAGAACTGTGTGTTAGAATTTAATATGGAAAATTGATGATTGTGTATGGGCAAGCAAAGTGATGGATTTTCTGAGATGCACAGCAGTGTGCTTGTCATGAATGACCTTCAAATTTCTGTGGTTGAGAAGATTTGATGCCATTAAGAGCCCATGAGTACTTACCCAGAACCATGGGTATGGCAGAATGCTTGGTCTTCTCTATCCTTCTTCACCACAACCCCTTGGAAACCTGCCTGATTGGGTTTCCTGTCTCGTTGTCATGAACATCATATCATGTCCAAATTGATATAATAATGCATGTAGCCATTAATTTTTCCTCAAAATAGAAACTTAAACAGAATCAATTTAAAAAGAAAATACCATCTGTCATAATTATTATTGCTGAAATGTCCAAACCAGCCCTCTGTGCCCAAAAGATCCCATTATGCCCTTTGTACTTGGCACTATATTAAATTACTGAGGAAAGAGTTAATCAAAAGCATTAAAACCTAAGGATCAATTCAATTCAATAATATTTTTATTTGGGGGAAAGCTGTGTGCATGTTCCATATTCATGTGTTCCTAAAGACAGGTCCCTTATTTGTTGCAGGTCGATCTCTTTTGCATGGGAGTGGGGGCTCTGAACTGGATTTTCAGTTGGCTAAATTAGCCAATTTTTGTGGTGTTTATACATGTCATAGAGAAGCTTTGGGGAAGAAAGAAGAGTCTATATCACCACGGGAGTGAATGTCTTTCTTTCCAAAGTGAAGAAATAAAAGACTGACTCAGAGTTACACTTAGTTCCTGAGAACAATTTTTAACTACTTCCTTTTCTAAACATTTTTTTTTTAAAATATACAAACTTCTTAAACTTACTTCTATGTTGCACTAATATTTGTTTATTAAATCCCTATTTACATTTCCTGTTCTTGACAGTGGGATGTTCTATGATGGAAATCATACTTACCTTATTGAGCCAGATGAAAACTACTCTTCAGATGTAAGTAGAACTTGTCGTAGTTTTGCAGTGTAGTTTGTTGAACACCGAAATTCATGGGTACAGGGCAGGCATAAGGCTCTGGGACCAAAGAGTCATCCCCTCATTCTCAATTAATTTACCTCATATGTGAGTCCCCATCAAGTAGAGGGCAAAAGTAGACGTCCAAACTTTAAGTCTATCTCCAAGTGTGCTCAGCCGCTCCTGTTGTTGTACTTAAATATTCCAAGTAGAAGATGATTAACTGTGGCGTTAATCATTGCATCATAGTTGGGAAGAGGAGAAAGGTTGAGAGTAATGGTGCATTGCACTTTGCATGTTCACTGGTGTAGGTCTTGGATAACAAGGACCTTTGGAACTGTCTGTTTAATGCTCGTGAGATGTATTAGTTTATCTGGATTTAATACATGAAATTATTTACTATTTCAGGATGACTTCCATCTCCACTCTGTTTACAAATCCAAGTTGTTTCAATTTCCTTCGGATGACCTGCCAACTGGTATGATTTTTCAATATTCATTAATTACTGGATTTGGTCTAAGGCCAAATTTGTTAATTGTATTTGATAGATAATCTTCTCATAGTATATTGTTTACTTGTATATCTCTTTCCCCGATTAAATAAAAAAGCACTGAAAAAAAAATCTAAAGCACTGAAAAAGAACCCGAATTCAATGAATCAAACATCTCCTAGACCTTCATGTTGTGATGTATGTTTCTCTTAACAAGCCATATGGTCTAGGGGCTGCGGTATAGCCTGGTAGTTGTAGAAAGGAAAGGGCTGAGGTAGCCTATGGATGAAAATAAACCCCACTCATTGCCAGTGGTTGATAACTTTTCATGGATTTTCCCTATTTTGAGGTACAGGGTGAGTGCCATGGTGTGAGCAGAAGCCTGGGAGACAAGAATTTGCCACGTATCTTTGCTGTTGAGTGTCTCTCTCATCTCCAGTGCTGCTCAGCTCTCTCACAGCACTGTCATCCTGCAGGTCACACGTTTCAGTACAAGGGAATTTGGAGGCAGAACTGGTTTCAAGTGCTTGAGGTGATGAATCCCCACAAGCGGTTTATATTGTGTGCGGAAGGAGAAGAGTTTTTAAAAAATGAGCTATTATCTGAGGGGTTGGCCTGTTAATTGAAGCTAAAAGTGCAGTATTTATGGCATATCCCCACTCTGTCAAGGATTTTCCAGTTTTACAGATGCGTTTTCCTCTTCTACAAAATACACCCTAGATAAATAAAACTGTCCTTCGTGGACACTGTCATTTTGGTAGAAACCATCTTTAGACTAATTTCTTCAGGACAGTTACAGTTGTTACAAACTATTCTTGTTATATAACTATATAAAGTTACAAACTAGTTGTGTTACAAACTATTTGTCCTATAGTATCTATTGGATCTGGGATTTCACGGTGCTGGGTACTGCACATAGAGGGGTCCTTCCCTGGAGCAGTGTGTGCAGGTTTGCTAGTTGTTAAGCAAAGTGAAATCATTCAGAGAGCTAATGAGAAAAAACCAAGGGAAATTGCTACCACTGGGTCACCTTGATTTAAATTCTGCAGAAGGAATCTTTCAGAGTCTAAGCAGAACAGTATCCCGGGTTGATGCCTCACGTCCTCCGCTGGTGGTTGCCCAGGAGAGGTGGAGGAGGTGTTGGGATGGAGGGGCAGCACAGAAGGCTCATGCAGCACAAGATGTTGACATCTGTACCATGAAGCTTCCTATGTTCATACATCTCAGACACGTTTCGTGGTTGCTCCCTGTACTCATGGAGATGGTAGCATAATGAGAACAATTTATTGAATACGAGGCCAAATAATAAAGTGCATCTTTTATCACACCTTCTTTAGGATGTGTCATTTAAAAAGTTGGAAATAATGCAGCCGCTGCTGAGTTTAAAATAAATCTTCTGTCTCAGGTTGTTAAAGTAGAAAACTGCTAGAGCAGTCTTAGTAGATATCTTATCAGTTGTCTTATAAGATTTCCTAATAGTGAAATTGTAAGTTTTCAAGATTTTGGAATAAAATTATTTTCTGCTTTTAAAATTATGAAAAGGAATTAATTGCAAGTATAATCCACCAGTCTGACCTGCACCAAAACTTCCTGATTTTCAAAAAACCTATCAAAATAGGACTTCAGGGTTCTTTGGGGTTTGCTTTTTGGTTTTTTTATCCTCACATCAATCCAAATATGCTTGTATGGTTTTGATTCCACGGTAGACAACAAGTTGCTGGCTGTGCTGTAGGAAGCCCAGCATGTGACCATGGAAGATGTTGCCATTAGACTGAATTAGAACCACTAGATTGGAGAAAAGGCTGAAAAAGAGGTTTAATTGTGCAGTGGTAGTGGTCTTAATTATACAAAGATTTGTGATGTGGATAAGAGGTATAAGGTGCTAATATTCTATTGCTTTATGTTTAGGATCCCTTTTATAGAGAAATTAGCTTTAACTCACAGTTTGCTCTCCCACATGCCCATGCTTATTTCTGTAAAGCTCCTGAGAAAGGTGTTTATGAGGTTTGTAGTTAAAGTTTCAGTGGATGTAATGGAGTATATCCTCACTAGGAAGGATAGGTTTTCTTTAAACAATATTTGCAATTATTTTCCAATAGTATTGTTGTGATTTTTTTTTTTTTGGAAGTATTACGGCAGAATCATTATTGTTAATAGCAAGCACTGTGCTAGGTTATGTCATCAGTATTTCTTATATTACTTATTATCCCATAATTTATTGATCTGCCCAGCCTAAGGAGGTCTTTTGTGATTTCAAGTTTTTCTTCTTATCTTTAAAAGAATCTGTGTGTTAGCTGAGATTTCCACTCATAACTGGATGTATCATCAGCTTCAATATTGATGTTAGGAAAAAAAGTCAAGTAATAGGGATTACTCTGTCGGTGATAGCAAAAGGACACACTATTGTACAACAGTTCAATAGCTATGGACTTTTTACATTCTTTAGCGCCTTGGATATTAAAAAAAAAAAGAAGAAAGAAAGCTACTGCAGAAAATTATTAATCAAACTGTACTTTGCAATGGTCTGAGGCGGTAATGAGAACTTTAAATTAGGAAAGTTCAGATGGATATGCCTTGGATATTAAAAAAAAAAGAAGAAAGCAAGCTACTGCAGAAAATAATTAATCAAACTGTACTTTGCAATGGTCTGAGGCGGTAATGAGAACTTTAAATTAGGAAAGTTCAGATGGATAACTTGGCACGATTAGAGCATTTGACTTCATAATTCAGTAGACCTTATTTTTTCTCCCAGTCGTATTGAGGCATATAGTGCCCTGGCAAGGGCTTAGACAACACCATGTTATTGAAGGTGTTGTTTTCAAAATACTGCATAACAGACATCCTTTGCTTTTGAGTTCACTTGAAAGACCTGTAGATGTGGTGCTTAGGGACATGGTTTAGTGGGACTGGACAATGCTAGGTTTATGGTTGGACCTGATGATCTTAAAGGTATTTTCTGTGATTCTGTGATTTCATGAATCCTCGTTGTACTTTTTGAGGTAATATGTTCCCATCAGAGGTTTCACTACGCTTTCTCAGCGATCCCCATTTCCTGTCATTTTGCTGGTCATGACCTTTTGCCTGCGGGTCCCTGGCTGGAAGTGCACCCCACATGAATCCATCCCTCTTGTGAATTACAGCGCTGCGTTAATGTGTGTGAACATTAAGGGCTGCATCATTCCCCTCTAGAGATGTCTGACTTCCGACGGTGGGGAAAAAGATCGCATTTGCTGGAAAAGTAACCTGAGACCCTATATCCATATTGTATTATTATGTTTTTTATTGAAAAGTTGTCTTTTTACCAGTTTCATTAACCATGATAGAAAATCTAAAATCATAGGTTGAGAGCCAGTTATGTGGCACTAGAACACAAAATAAATTAATAAACATATGTAAAGCATGATCAAAAACAAATTTGTAAGAAAATTTTCAAGATTCAGTTTCTCATCATTGCGAGCTTTAGAGACCACAGGTCCTTAAGCAAATATAGCAACACTTGCATGTGATTTAATGGATTTTAGGTCCTTTTTGTAAAGAAAATCCTCAAGTGCACTAGTGTGACCAGGAAAACATTTTTAAGCAAAAGGCCTGTGATTGTCCAGGACCTTCTGTAAAAAGATCTCTGCAGACTTCACATATCAAAAGGACAGCAAATTTGTCTCTGCAGACTTCACATATCAAAAGGACAGCATAATCCCCGAGATTTACCCAAGACAATACCAGTTAGTCACACTTTGCTTTCCTGGTTGGATTTTTTTGTGTCAGTAACTAGCCAATCCTGGTTAAGATTAGCACTTAGAGAATCACAGAATGCTATGGGGTTGGAAGGGACCTCTGGAGATCATCTAGTCCAACCCCCTGCCAGAGCAGGGCCACCCAGAGCAGGTCCCACAGGAACGTGTCCAGGTGGGGTTGAATGTCTCCAGAGAAGGAGACTCCACCACCTCCCTGGGCAGCCTCTGCCAGGGCTCTGCCACCCTCAAAGTGAAGACGTTCCTCCTCATGTTGAGGTGGAACTTCTTACGTTCAAGTTTGTGTCCATTTCCTCTTGTTGTGTCCCTGGGCACCACTGAAAAAGGACTGGCCCCTGGTAATGTTTTGTCAGACAGGCAATTCAGCATCTTGCTTTAAGGTTTTGCTGATATGGCAGCCCTGTCCTATAAGCATTGGTTTCAATCCTATGGTTTGAACCCCATGCAAAAATTGCACAGTTAATGTCCAACAGGTGGGAGGTGGAACTGTGAGAAACTTTCCAGTCTCACCAGGGAAACCGAACTGTTTTGTTTTTTTTTTAACAGAACCAAAAGTTGTGTACAAAGGTATGTGAACTGCAAATCCCTTAATTTACACAGCTCCTATAGTACTGACTCCCTCTCTGCAAGACTGATAACATCACTCTGGAATACTGAAAGCAATTTTCAGTCCCTGGAGACTGATAGAATGTCCAAAGATGGAGAAAGTACAAAGGAGGTGACAAAAGACATATTACAAAAAAATGCAACTGCAAGCATTTAGTTTGCATGTTTCAAAGAAAGATCTTCTTGGGGTTATGTGAATAGTAAACATGTTTATAGAAGATAAAGAGATTTCTATTGTCTAGAGGAGACTGAGGCAGAGGCTATGAATCTAAAATAAAAGATGGAAAAATACTTATTGGACACTGCAAGGGGTGAGATCAAGTATTGTCTTCTGCTTATAAAGATTATAAACGTGTCCCTTTCCGTGAGTGGCTATTAATAGATTTGGTGAAAGGGATTTGGCAAAAGAATAAACTACTTGATGCTTATGATTATAGATTTAAGAAATTAAAGACACAGTGGGATTAGCAGGGAGGAATATTGTATTGATAGTGAGCATTGCCAAAATCTTACAAGGTTTCTTCCAACTCTTAACATATTTTACTTTGTGAATATAATCGTCTTAAAGCATTAATTCTGCCTTCCGTGCTCCTCTTATTAATTTTGGTGTCTATTGCAAGAGCTTTGTGAATGCCTGCTGGATTCCCAACAGTGTGATTCACTCCGTGGAAGCACTGTGCTAATAATATTCCATGCTCGGTGTTGGTGCAGTTCTGGCGTGGAACATCTGCTGCGCTTTCTGCAGCGTGACACCCACAGATCATCTGTCTCAGCAGACCCAGATTATCACTGGTAGAGTTTTTAATAAGAACCCTGTTACTGGGAAGCATCTGTAACATTGCCTCCTTCCTAGCTGGAAACTTGAAAAAGGGAGTTGTTACTGCATCTGCTGTCCTGGGGCTTGAGGGTCACTAGTTGTTGGGCTACATCCTTGTGTGTACATTCAATGTATTTGCCTATGTTTTCTGCTTAGAGTTCTGGCAAACGAATGCTACGTCACAGAAGTTTGTTGTAAAGCCAAGACACAAAAGAAGTAAAAGGCAGGTATGTGCCAATGTGCTTGTTTATAAGTAACAGGCCATCAAGTTTGTTTTGTGTCTGCTGGATTGATTTGTCCAGATGGAGTCCTGCTGCTGCTGCGGGTTTGGCATGAGGTCTATCTATCAATACAGCTGTTAGAAAAAGAGGTATCTAATGTTGACAAAACATTGATGGGTTCTCGTGGACATTGCTTACCTGAAGAATTATAAAATTGTTAAACACTGCTAAATTGCAAATTAAAAAGTAGCTAAAATATTTTCCCTCATTTTGAAGTATAGAGTTTTATCAACAGCTCCCAGTTAATGAAACATCTACAAGTATTTTTATGTTGCAATGGTGACAAGTAGGTACTTCATGTCACTTGACTTTGATTGAAAATAAATATTCTAAACTGAGAGTTCATTCCCTGTTTATTAAAGTGGGGGAGCCACTAAGTGCAGGTGTTTTGTCTGTACCCTGGAAAGATCGCAGCACTTCTTAGTATTATAGGAATGGGGCTCAAATGATGGTTTAGGTCAAAATAGAACCTCTCAGGGGGCTGAATAGTGCAGGCAAAAATGAAATACTGAGAGTGGTGGGAGGGGAAGATGACTTTTAACATCTCTGACTAATGTGAGCCTCTTGGAGGCAAAAGAGAAGTGAGAAAACATTGGAGAAATTCCAGAAGTCATTCTTGAGGGTCTTACCTTATCAGGTGGCTTGCTGCCTTTCTGTAAACTAGCCATTACTCTGTATATTTAAAACATAATGATGTAATAACTCTCCTGGAAAACCCGGGAAAACAAGGACACCGTGAAGGAGCAGAGTCATAAATGTTTCTAAATGCAAAGTAAGCATAACATGGAGGTGAGTACTGCCTTCACTGTATTAATCTAGCACACAGTCTATTTGGAAAAGAAAGTTTATAGCTGACACAACCCATTTTTTAGAGATATAGGTCCCACTGAGGATTCTCTTTAAAAGAAGCTAAACTTGGGATTAGATGGGTTGAAAGACTTGGTTTCTTTGTTTAAGGTCACATAAATGTCCTGGCAGAGGTGAAAGAATTTTTTTTTGAATGATGCAACTAAGCACCAGAAGTTTCTTCAATATCTGAAACCAGAATTAAGACAATAGAAAAGAATGTATGTGTGAGAAGTGTGGTTTCTGATGCTGTTTGTAGTTCTCAGTTACATTCTCTTTATATTCTGTTAGACTCTCTTACAGTTGTACTCTCTTTGTAGGTTCATCAGATTCCACGTAAAATTGAAGAGGAAACAAAATACATTACATTCCCTTTATATTCCGTTAGACTCTCTGACAGTTGTACTCTCTTTGTAGGTTCATCAGATTCCACGTAAAATTGAAGAGGAAACAAAATACATTGAGTTAATGATTGTAAACGATCATCTAATGGTAAGACTGACACACTTCAACATCTCATGATTATCACTAACATCAAATTGTCTTAATTGGTCCATAAAGATAACAATAAAGAACAACATATGGCCAGAATAAATTCAGTATGCCCTTAAGAGAAGAGATTATGGTCTCATTTACCATTGATGAGGTTGCTTCTGAATTTTGGCAAGATAATTTCACCAAGAATGTAACCAGGCCTGGGTATGAGAAGGAAGGGTGATAAATTAAAGCTTTGTGTCATAAAGTAACTGATAGCAGTGTGACTTAAGCTGATGATTTTTTTTTCTGGCTTTCTTGAGCACTTGTCTTAGTTATAGCCACTCAGCAATCAATAATGCAGTTATTGCAATTGTGCAACTGCTGTTGACAGTGGGGAGATTATGATACGTCCAAATCAATACAGAGAAAATAATTTTGTTAAGCTTGTATACTTCTCTGGGAGAACATAAATAGGCTCTTTAATGTGGTGGAAAGAGACATAATAAAATTTAGTATTGAAGAAAAAACAGGTTCATTGAAGTGGGAAAAGGCACAGATTTTGTCAGAGAAGATTATTAATAGTCAATGAAAGGAATATCAAAGGAAATGGTGAATTCTTCATCATGTGCAGTCTTCAAATCAGACAGTGTATTTCTGGAAGATGTTGTGGTGTCAAACACAAACAATGGGATTCCATCTTGAAGTATCTGTATAAAGCTCAGAGACTGGTGATGTCCCTCCAACTAGTGACATTAGTTGATTTTGTGGTCCTTTATGGCTATAAAATCAAAATATATATATATATACATTTTATGTACTCTTTCTGTAACATGCAGCTTCTCTCAATCAATACCCAAACAGGCAGAATTAGGCATCAGAATGTAAAAGGAATGTGCCACTGTCCTTGGACAGCATACTCCTCCATCAGCTCAGTTTGGTGAACATAGCAATAAATTTTTGGATTATAACAGACAATACTGGATGCAGAACTCCCTAAATTGGTGTCATTGTGTTGATCCTGAAGACCTGAAGCCACAGCTTTCCCCTTGGGGACCTTGTCTGTCTGGGCTGATTCCCCCCAAGGACAGTATTTCTTAATTTTGGTTAGCTATAGCTACTGTGAGAGTGAGTCTACTTAGGAATTTATTCTCTGGAGCAAATGCCAGTGAACATCTGTGATTGAAGAAGCCGAGTGATTTCCTCCCGGGAGAAGGAGGTGTCGTGTGCTCTGGGCTCCTCTGGTTCCCCACCGCCTGTGTGTTTGGGTCACTCTCTGGGTGTGCAGTAGATGCAGCACACCAGTGTGGAGCTGACACCCCCCAGAGTCACAGCCATTTTCACTCTTCACCCTCCCCAGGTGTTCCCAGAGGGAGCAATGAACCTCTTTGCTTCTTCCTCTGGTCCGTGGAGCCAGCTGTGTCCCACTGGTCCCCCAGGGCCACCCACCCCTGCCAGGTGCCCTCCTGGCTGCCCCGTCGGCTGCTCATCATTCAACCATCGCTTCCAGTCAGGAACAAAGCTCTTAAGACCCAAACATTGAAACAGGATTATAAATTAGTACACAGAAAGCATTTCTGTAGGATGCTTAGAGAAGCTGGAGGCCTAAAATTTGAGCTTTTAGTTGCAAATAGAGACTTGAGTAGTATACTTATTTCCCTTTGTTACTGTGCTTTGTTTTCCATTTATTTTGTAGCTTTTTCATTTCGTCCTTTCTACATTTTTTACCTTCACAGTCTTGTCTTTCTGGTTTTTATTAAGTGTAACATCCTCATTTTTGGTGGTTTTCCCCTGTTCCTGCTTGAAAGCATGCCTTTCCCATCCTCTGGCTGCTGGATACTTCTTCCCACTGAAATATCCTAACTTCCAGAGAATATGGGCAGCTTTCACTCTAAAACTAAGCGTTGTGGGGCACAAGGTGGTTAAACATATCTGAAAATCTTGGTCATTTTGTCCTAAACTCTTCTGAGATCATTGTGACCTTCATACCCATGGTATTTTTTTCTGCAGTTCTGTACAGCGTTATCTTTATAGCACTGTATTCTAAATGTCAGTAAAGGTGCTGTTGCAGTCTGATTGCTGAAGTGTTTTAAACCAGTTACTGTGGCGTTATGGAATGTGAGATTGTACATGAAGAAATAAAGAAGATCGCTTAAGAGAGAGAACTGAAAAAAAAAAAAGAAGGAAGTCTGATTGATAGATTAAAATACAGATGGAGGCACTCCTGGGGTCATGCCTCTAAAGAAGTCTCAACTATGGAAATAGTGCTGCTAATTTCTGTATTAGCATTTGGAATTAACTTAAAAATCACCAGTAATAAAGATAATGAAGAGAGTAACAATATGTTCCTGTTCATATAGCATTTTTCAGTAAAGATCTTAGAGTGCTTTCCAAACAGGAGTTAATATAACAGCTGTTGTAAAGTATATTAGTAATGTGCATTTCTGAGCAATTTTCTACTATTGTTTATTAGCATTACATTCAGCAGAGGAGACCAAACTTTGTGCAGGGCTTTCACTGGTGATGTAGCTGCGTTTTACTTCGTGTGTTTTTGGAAATGGAGCTTATTTTTCTGCAGTGTGTGTATGTAACTTGTCTCTGTTTGTTTTGCAGTTCAAAAAGCATCGCTTGTCAGTCGGCCATACAAACAGCTATGCTAAATCAGTTGTGAACATAGCAGATCTGGTAAGTATCGCTCAACTAAATGTTCTTTTACATGTGAGATGGGTCAGCTTCCACTGATAGATGTGGGAGTTGTCAGTTCATGGGATACCTAATAATAGCAGATCGCCAATTTTCATCTAGAACCACAGTCAGCCACCTATAAAGCCTTTTTCTAATGCAAAGTTGTAGATATTTTGTGGCTTAAAACATTTAAGTATCCTGCTGGATCAATTCCTTTAACCTGAGTCTTAAAGAGCACATTAGGTAGGACAGTTTTTAACACAGGATCCCTATGTTGACAATTGGAAACCCAAAAGACAATCTGAAATAAGAATGCACTAAAATTTCTCCAGAAGTAGTGCATTTGAGTAAATGAGGTAGAATAGGGACATACAAGTGGATTATGTATATAATATATACTCGTGAAAGTATCCGGTATGGAGTATTAACCCCCAGCATTGAAAATATGACTCTTTTTTAGTGATTCAGCCAGCTCAAGGTTAAATACTCCCATAGAGGTGTATCTGTTTTTATAGATCTCTATTTGGTATAAGAACCCTCGTGTATCACTGGGACGAGCTGGACGTTATAAAAGACCCATTAGTTCTGTAGAATTTTTTTAAAAAATGCCGTTTCTCTTCTATGTATATCTGCTTGTGTAGGACCTGCAAGGGATCTCTCTGCAGGCTGAGAGCTGATTGAAGAATTAGACCTAAAATTTAGGATTTACTTCATTTTCATGTTTGTTGGTTTTGAAGGAGATATTCAGTTATGTAAAAATGCAAGCTATTACAAAAAAGGGGTAAAACTCACCTTTATTCTATTTGACATAATATATTTGTTCATTCTGTTAATGTACTAGATATATCAAGAACAACTTAACACCAGGATAGTATTGGTTGCCATGGAAACCTGGGCTACTGATAACAAGTTCACCATATCTGAAAACCCCTTGGTGACCCTGCGTGAGTTTATGAAATATAGGAGGGATTTTATCAGAGAGAAAAGTGACGCAGTTCACCTCTTTTCGTACGTAACCTCGTGTGATGTTTTATTACTGGCTTGTGTTCTTTCCTTGGGGGTTGCTTGTCACAAGTGGCTGATGCATCTCTTTTCTGTTGTATGTGTAGTCCATAATAACCCAGACAGTAATGTTTCTGATGGGGAAGTGGAAAAAAGTTAATGCACAATCTGCCTGCCAGTGCCACTAGAGGTTTGACTCTCATTTTAGTTTTTAATGTACTAAGCCTGAGCTGCATGCGCTGGAATCCTTGGTTATTCTCAGCAATTACCTGCTCTGCAAGCGCAGCTGCCTGGAAAGGGATGCATGGTTCCACCTTGGAGGTTGGCTTCTTCGGCACTAGAGCATGGACAGCCCTGTTTTATTATTCAAAAGCAGAACATTGGTTTTGAAACCAATGAGGTTTCCTCCTTAAAAAGCACTATGGCTTGCTTTCCTTTGTTGGATGGCCTGCATGCTGCAGGATTGCTGTTGTGTTTCAGATCCTCGAAACAGTTTGCTCCCTGGAGAGACACGTGCTATATAGGAAGAATCTGCGAGGAATGTTATTTTCTCTGCATCTCTTAATTTTTTTGGAAATAAAATTGATATAACAAAGTACATCTACAAAAATAGAGAAGAAGCTCATGGTTGAAATTTTTGATCCACGCAAGGCAAGCCAGATCAATTGCTCTGGAGTCCTTATCCCTCTCTGCTGACTGTTGGAGGAGCCTATATGATTGGCTTAACCTAAACACCTCATTTTCAGATGACTCTGGTAGGGTGCCAGCATACCCAACCCCAGTAGCCAGCCTCTCAGAATTTTTGCACATACTTTATACTGTCATTGGCTTCTGTCATGAATAGAGCTAGTAAGATCTGCAAGTGTTGCTTGCAGATTTTACTTTCTCTGTGTCTCAATCCTTCATCTGTAAAATGAGAACCAGGTTTTCTCACATCCTTGTGTATCTCTGGTGATGTTTTAAGGCCTTTGGGGGAAGTCTTGTTCTTTTGAATGCTTGTGGACTGGCTAGGGCAAAGCCAGCTCTATGTGCCCTGGGACTGTGGATACCCCTGTAGTGCCAATTCCAGTGCTGTCCCTACCACCACCACCACTGGTGTCCAAGGTATTGCATTCACAGACTGTTCAGAAGTACCAGTTTCTGAAATTGTGTCTGAGAGAGAGACAAGAGACGTGGCAAAGTTGGGAGGTGAGGCTGGCTGGTGTGCTGGTACACAAATGAACGTCCCATTTCAACACAGTGCATTGTGTTGTGTCTTAATGTGTTTCTGTTTTCCTTTGAAAAAACCCGATTTGCTGCAGCTTGGATGGATCGGTGCTCTGGAGCGGACCAGAGTATATTTTGTCTCCAGTAACTGGCAGTCGTTCATGCTGATGTGGTCAGCACCAGAGAGATGATTAGATTTAGGCTCACGTTGCAGCTGTCCCCTGGATAAGACAGGCTGCAGTTCCCGGGAGTTTTTGCCTATTTCTGCAGCAGGGTGCCGCTAACGCCGCTCTCCTAGAGTTTTGCCACATCAGCATTGCCCAACTAGACTCTTGTCTTTTTAGTCTTAAAGTCTTTTAGTCTTTTTTGGTCTTCCGTGCCTTGGCAGTATGTCAGCCTCTCCCGCGCTCTGGCGGCAGCACGTGCCAGCAGAAGTCACTTGCTGCAGTAGGATGCCAATTAACAAATGGCCGGGGAGATTCAGGTGGTTAGGCAAAATAGTCCCCTTATGCTTTCTTATGTTAGATAGTGTTATGGTTTGAGAAAACCCATGACAATCTATTGTTGTTTAGACAATTATTCTGTCACCCATTGACCCCTCCCCACCCGGAAAGGGGAATTGGGGAACACAAGGAAAACACAAGGGTTGAAATATAAATAGATTTAATAGACTAAAACTAAATAGTTAACAACAATACTAAAGGACCAGTATTAATCCCGATACTGATATAGGATATACAGGAATTATACTCAGCCCATTCTCTCAGCAGGAAGCTGTGCGCTCCCCGCAGGGACAGCAAATGGCGGACACTGCCAGCGCAATGGCTTCAGGAGGAAGGGAAGGCCTCAGGGCTCCGGCACCGGGGCAAGGGGTTGTCTGCACCCACTGCCATCAAGGGAGAGCCCCCTATGCAGCAAATTCTTCTAATTTATATTGAATGTGACATTCATGGTATGAAATAATCCTGTTGGCCAGCCTGGGTCAAATGCCCAGGCCTTGCTCCTCCTTGTCCCTGCGCCTGGCAAGGCTCGAAAGCACTAAGACCTTGAATCCCACAGAGCCTGGCTGGCTATAAAGTAAATATTTTCACAAATTCAGACACTAGAGTCTTCTAGAAGTGCAATTTTCCCCAGCATTAGAAGAAAAGTTAGTCCTGTGTCTCTCAACCCAGGACAGATAGTCTGGGAAGGAAGAAGGGAGATGGTACACCCTTTGTGGAGATAATTTGTCACGTGAGGTTTGTGAGCGGTTATCTGGTTTTCCCTTTTCTTTTTTTCCCATAGTTTGCAGGGTAGTGGTGGCAACCAGCAAATGCCAGTTTCTCGTTTGGAAGTCAGAAGGGTAAATACTGGGATGGATAGTTGCAAAACTCCTGGACTGAGCAGGGTAAACTTTTTTTTTTCTTTTCCTTTTTGTCTAAGGGGGAGCCGGTTTCAGAGCAGTCGGAGTGGTGTAGCCCACACTGGTGGAATCTGCTCCTTGCTGAAAGGCGGAGGTGTGAACGAGGTAGGTGGTGATACTGGTATGACCAAAAAAGTGGTGGAAATTTGTCTGCACAGAATTTATCAGTGCAGACATGTTCCTCAAAATATCTTCCTGCTTCTTTGCTGATGCAGACTTTTAGTGCAGCTTTAGAGAAGGGATGTCTCAATGAGGAGTGATGAGTGAATAAAGTTAGATATGGATTCAAATACACTTTTCAGCAGATTCTGCAATATCCTGTCATTCGTACTTGCAGCCACAATGACAAGAAAGAAACAGACTTTCTCTTACTTAACTTGTCCATAAGCCAATGTTTAGTTTTCCTCCCTTGTCCGTTATCCGGCTGCTCTGAAGAACTCTAACACTGTGTATCTGATTTTGCCTTGAAATGGGAAAAGCTTCACTTGTATCTGAGATACCTGTTTGTTGCTAATTACTCTTCCTACCTTGCTTGTTTCTTTCAGTTTGGAAAGCCAGACTTAATGGCGGTTACCCTGGCACAGACTTTGGCCCAAAACATTGGCATTTTCTCAGACAGAAGAAAACTTCTAAGTGGTAAGGTTGTTTACTTTTTTACTCTGTCTCAAGAGAAAATCCTAAAAGGTGGAGGGTCTTATCAGTGTCTCTCTGATATGTATTTTTCCCCTATGTTTCTAACAATGTTGGAGTATTTTAATTTTTCTTGTAATAACAGAAGGAGAGACTTACATGTCATCAATTTTCCTCTGTTTAAATGCTGTGTTATCCCCTTGCCCATAATTGCTGGCAGCACTGGTGTCACCGTTTCCTTAAAAATAAATCACAAAGGTGACTGCCACTTGTGAAAACGGTAAGTAATAGTGGCGGTTCACTTTCTGATGGCTGAGCAGAAGGGCAGAACACGGATTTGGAGGGGAGGGAGGAGAATGCAACTGGTGGGCAGAGACTCGTTCGATAAACTGATGTTCATGTATTGCAGTAAGGCCAATCGCAGAAAGAGAAATATAAAAGTATATGTGCAAGGCATATGTACAGAAGTAGACACAGGTCATGGGTCTGAGGGCGGAGGGCTGGGACCAGGGCAAGGCGGTGCCAGATTTCCCCAGTCACATTAGCATAGTAGTAGAAGTGAACTAAAAAATAAGTAGAAGGGTTAAAATTATTAATTTTTTTTTTAACTCTAAAAATTTGGAAATCAGATACCGTGACAGAGGAGAAGGCAGGAGAGCTGACTCATGATTGGCAAGTGCTGGAGGCTGACACTGCAGTTTCCCCTAACTTCATTGTAAGAAAAGGAAAGCAAGACATGTTTTCAAAGCTCAGGATTGCGTAGAATCATGTATAGTTTTTGAAAGAAAATTTGTTAGTGTGAAAACTGATACACTTAAACTAAGGTGTGCAACAAACTGCCAAATTATTCTTTTCAACTTGTATTTAAATATGAAATGGAATTGACTACAGTGTGGGTTTTGTGATTAAGAAATGTATTATTTTGTACTCACAAGACTCAAGATGTAATTTATTTTTTTCCTTGTTAATGTCAGGTGAGTGTAAGTGTGAGGACACGTGGTCTGGATGCATCATGGGAGACACGGGGTAAGGCATTTCACGAGAGGAAAGTCATGTCCTTCGTACAATGACATAAATGTAAGGTGTGAAAACATTTGCCTTTTGTAGGTCAGCACAATATTTTCTGTGAATCGTGTCAGTAAGGTAGCAGCTGCACAACATATGTAGCAAAGACACTTTCAAAGAAATGTGAGAACAAATGAGTTAATTAGACAATCTGTGAAGACTTTTGGGGACTGCTGATTTAACTCAGAAGGCACAGGGCTCAACAGCCCGGCCAGGTCATGGCAGAGAAGCAGGAGCATGCTTAGCTTCTTTTCTCCTGCAAGTTTGCTGTTAAGTTGTGGGGACAAACAATGACACATCCTAATTCTTGAAATACCATTCTCAAATTGCTTAAGTATGTCTCATTTTCAATGTTTCTGTTGGAATCTTTCATCTATATCTATCATTTTTCTGTCCTCCCATTTTGTGTGGTAATCCTAAAAAACCTGCTCCAATTGGAGGTTGAGTATGTTTACACCCACAGGTGATGTCACTGGAGAGATTTTATCTGAAGACTAGGGAATCAGCAAATTTTTGCTGCTAGGTGAAATTTGATGCTTTCTAAAGTGTGTATTCAGACCTTAATTCTTCATAATACAGGCCTGTCTTTTGTCATGTATATGAATTAAACTTTAGTCTAGTTTTAGATATAGACAGTGCTTTTAAAATTAATTTCAGACTGACCTGTGAATTTTCACAGTAGCTTTTGTGGTCAGAACAGTTTTGAACAAAAAAGCATATTTAATTGAAAGCTTTTTGGAAATGTGAAGGTGTGCCTTTTTCACCTTGTCTACCTAAAAACATACCAGGTAGGATTTACTGATTTTTTTGTATGTTAAAAAGCCAATCTGAGAAGCATTCTTGGTTCTTGTAAAAGTGATTCCTTATCTAATGATCTTTAAATTTGTTATCTGAAATCCAAACCTATATCCAAATACAGCTAGGTACACAAAAAAAAAGCTTGTATTCACATAGCTTATTAATGAAGTATGGTGAATCCTACATTATCTGTAGTCTTTAGACCTAAATCATAAACATGAGAGATGGCAAAGACCAATTATGGTTTTCAGGCCATCACTCCTGGCAATGTGGGATTATTTAGTATTTTATCCAGTGATGAGCTGATACAGGAAAGCCCTTGAGACTCCAAAATCTTCTTGAAGCAGACTAAGGACTTAAATATAAAGATCACTTAAGTTACTTTGGGAAATGCTCAATGAGCAGTCTTTGTCTCCTGCGGCATGTGTGGGAAGAAATAAGTGTATTTCTGAGATGAGGCCAGTTAGTGCAACAGGCTGTGTTTGTGAGACCTACACACTGTGTAATAAAATTTGAAGTATTTGGCATGAAATAACTTAGTTAAATATTTTAGACCTCTCAATTTCCACGAGCTCTATGTCATTGTTGAAAGTTCTTTCTCATTTACTGAAATGATTTACAAATTAGATAGCATTACAAGCAAATTGACGCTTTGAATAGTGTGGTTTTGTACTTTTTCTAAATTATAACATTATAGTTCTATTTCAAAAAAAAGAAAATATAGTGTAAAAAGCACTATAAAAAGTAATCCTGCTACCTTTATCCTCTACAGGTATTATCTTCCAAGCAAGTTCACCAAATGTGATATTGAAGAATATCATGAATTTTTAAACAGTGGAGGTGGAGCCTGCCTCTTCAATAAACCAAACAAAGTAAGCCATTACCTTATTACTGAGTACTGTTTCTATTCAATTTCTTATTTAGATGAAACCAACAAGAATGATAAGGATAATGTTAGAGAAACAAAACACCCTAATTTTGGTATTTCTGGTTCTCTCTAGGTTCTAAATTTTCTGTTGAAATATGAGTGACAGTAGCTGATTTTAGTTCATAGGAGTTTGGAGATTATATTTAAATAAATTTTAAGAAGTGGTTTCATGTCCAGAGTTCCTGCAGGTTTTGATGCCTCATGCAATTTGTTTTGAATATCGCAAATACAGTACGTTGCTGAAATTATTTGCTGAGGTTTCAAGTGTCTTGGTAAACTTTTGCACAGCTTGAATTCTAATTTGCATCGGACTGATGTCTTTTGGTACAAATCTCTGGGAACTGAAGTAAGATTGCTTTTATTTCACATCTGTCCCAAGATGAAGAGCCTCTGCTGTGCAGCCCAGCGGCTGTGCAGGCACCAGCAGCTACAAGCGGTTGTGATATCCTCCCTGTTTGGAGAAGGCAAATCTTTTACAGTGGCTCTCAGAACGGAGTTTGAGAAGTGGAACTGGTTTTTCTAAAGCTGGAAGAGACAGAGCAGGAGAGAAAGCCCCCATGAGTAGGGGACAGTCACTGGGAGAGCCCGTGGCTTCTGAGTGCCTGTTACACTCCTCATTCCCCAGGAGCTGCCCACGTGGTCCCCATCGCCGTCACCAGGGTCTGTCGTCCCCTGAACTGCATGTGCCTTGTAAGAAGTGCTGGGATCATCTTAGCCCTGTGTTAGCTCCTTCCCGGCCAGCACACGTGGCTCTTCACAGCCCTGCATTGTGCTGGGTAGCCACCCAGACAGGGCCAGCTGGTGAAACCCAGTGCCCCTGTACCTTGCCTCATTTAGCAGGGTGTGTTACCTCCCTAAAGGCTTGGGAGCAGGAGAGCTACAAAAGCACCAGGACACACTTAAATGACTGACACAGCCCCTCCAAATTTGCCTCTAAGGTACAGAATCAAAGGTCTTCTTGGAAATCAGGAGAAATGGGGAATATCTCTTGAAATAGTATTCACCTTTTCTTTGCTTCTCTTGTCTCAATTTTGGCCTGCTAAACAGGTATATTCACATGAAGTATGGAAAGAGTATGAAATGATTAACTGAGACATTTAAGGGAGATAAAAACAAAACAAGGCTAAAGAAACTCCAGCCAAGATGGAAGTGCATCTACATTGGAGGATTTCCAGCAGGGTTTCCATATATTCCTGCTCTGTGTACTGAAGTATATGTTAACATGTACAGTAATCAGGATAATATTCTTTACTCTTTTCTAAATATAATTAATGTTATATATTTAATGGCTGTCTTTCAGCAAGCAAAGTAAAGACAGTCCAAATGAAGAAAAGATAGCTGAAGTAACCACAGATGTAAAAGAGAAAGTCAGTTCTGGAGTGATGCACGTTCCTGCTGGAGCAGCTGTGAAAAAATCCACATTCCAACAACCACAGAATGTCAATAAATCTTAGAGAAGGGAAGAGGAGAGATCAAATCTGGAAAAGCTGTTTGCTTATCTCTCAAAAATCTTCTTTTCATGGAAGGATATGTTATTAAAAGTGGATAGAAAGCACTATAAAGATTTCCCATTATTTAAAATGCAACTGGATTTTAGAAGTTTGTTTTTTTCCCATCTCATTAAAGGTGGAGAGAAAAAATGGTGGCTTTATTTCTTTGCTGAAATAGTGTAATGTGTCTTACTTGGGCTTATATTAGTGATTATGTTCATGTCCACATCTGTCACTTGATAAAAAACAATTACTCTCATCTCAATTTAGATTGGAAGGATTTATAACCTTTTTTTTAGGGTGATTTAAACTCTTTTATGCGGTGTTGTTTGGATTGGTTTAAAGTTATTGTCAATGGATGTCTGTCTAATTCACAAGGCTGATGTGTTTCCTGGCAAGGGTGGTGAAACACAAACATACTTTTTGCTTTTCGATAAATATGAGATAAAAGAAAACTGATGCGACACGGTGCAGTGTTAACAGTGCTCTGCTGTAAGATCAGCTGTGAACCTGAAAACTACATCAGCAACTGCTGGAGCAGATGGAGTGTATGTTCTTTTCAAATGAATGAAGGAATTATATGACTTCAGGGGAAAAGTTACCCAACCTGCTTTTCATGTTTTTTTCTTCCATTTCGTATTTAGCTGTCCCTACGTACTGCAGCCAATTGGCCCAATGTTTTAAGGCAGGACCCTCTATTGCTGCCATTTACTTGTCTTTATTGTGCAGTGCACACCTAGAGATACTGAAGAAGTTAAGATGTCTGGAAAAATATGTTGGAAATGAGCAGTTTTAGCAACTCTTTAATCATTCTAAAAGATAATTGCTTGCTTACATTTAATGTTAAATTCTACATACTGTATTCTACACACACGCTGCAGTCACATTCCCATTTCAATAGGGGGATCTAATAATAACAGGTCAGCCTGTGCCACAAGCCTCAGGCTAGTTTGTGGCCCGGTGAAGTACGTGGGGTGATGCTCCGTCCTCTGAGCTACTGGCTAAAAGGCAGCAGCCAGAGAAACACACTGTGTCACAAGCCATGTCCATGTGCAGATGGCTCATCAGCAGAGTGGTTTCTGGAACAATCGTAGTTTAAATGGAGAACTCAGGCCATTATGCAAAATTTTAGACTTGGTGACAGAATTATATGCGTACTCATTTATGTAAAAAAAGCTTCTCTGATGCCCAAAGGAAAAAAAATAGTATTTTCTTTTTGAAGAATTGCCGTTAGAAATTTGAGGCAACTGCAAACAATTAAACTGCAAAGAACAGGGTGTAAATGTCCATTCAAAGAGAGCATGGCATGGGTCCTGTGTAAAAACTGGTGAATGAATCTTGCCCCTGGGAAAGGAAAGTACAACTGCAAATGGAGAGATTTAGACAATTTTAGAGGGGGAGGCTGAAAGAAAAGGGGGGAAGCCTCACTAGCTATACTTTCTCATCTGCCTGTGACACAAGCTTATGGAAAACTACTGAAAGTTCCAGCTGTGGTAGAGAAAATGGGAAGGAAAAAGCCTATGGCTACAACAAAAATAAGACAAGACAAGGAAACCCAGCCTCTCCCTGCATTTCTGAGCTATGCGCTTCTGAAGGACAAGTTTTTTTATGGCTATTCCTTCTGAAGGTGTTGTTCAGGCTTCATCCTGGGACATAGCTCTTATCATTTGAATTCTAGAATGACAGCACTTGCAAACTCTGTGACAATAATGTTTTTGTTTTTTTTTTTCTTTTGTTGTCGTACCTTTTGGTTTTGATTGTGGCTTTTGCTCAAACTGCATCTGCTGTGAAAAGGGCAGTTGTGCACCAAAGGTGCTACGTGGCTTGGCAATATGGCTGAACTCGTTCACAGCATTCTCTGCACATTTCGTTTGTGGTGTTTCTAGTCTGCTTCTCCCTCAGTTGTAGGTAGTTGGTTTTGGTTAATGCCTTTGGAGTGATAGCTAAAAAAATAGAATCATAGAATTATAGAGTTGCCCAGGCTGGAAGGGACCTCCAAAGGCCATCTAGTCCGACCCCCCCGCAGTCAGCAGGGACACCCCCAACTAGACCAGGTTGCCCAGGGCCTCGTTGAGCCTCTCCTTGAATATCTCCAGGGATGGGGCCTCAACCACCTCCCTGGGCAACCTGTTCCAGTGCTCCACCACCCTCCCAGTGAAGAACCCTCTCCTCATCTCCAGTCTAAATCTGTTCCCCTCCAGCTTGAAGCCATTGCCCCTCGTCCTGTCACTGCAGGCCTTTCTAAACAGGTTCTCCCCAGCCTTCCTGTAGCCCCTTCAGGTACTGGAAGGCCGCTATTAGGTCTCCCCGGAGCCTCCTCTTCTCCAGGCTGAACAACCCCAGCTCCCTCAGCCTGTCCTCGTAGCAGAGGTGCTCCATCCCCCTGATCATCCTTGTGGCCCTCCTCTGGACCCTCTCCATCAGGTCCATGTCCTTCTTATATTGAGGGCTCCAGACCTGCACACAATACTCCAGGTGAGGTCTCACCAGAGCAGAGTAAAGTGGCAGAATCACCTCTCTGGACCTGCTGGCAACGCAGTTATACAGAGTAAATATGACAATGATTCCCTCAGGAGAGACATGCCCTTTGATTTCAGATTTTTCCCTGCTGATTTCTGATTTTGCCCTGCAGCTTTTGGATCCTCCAGAATGTGGCAATGGCTTCGTGGAAGATGGAGAAGAGTGTGACTGTGGGACAATAGCAGTAAGTTCTACGTACTTTAAATTAGCAACTAGATTCTCCTGGACATGGTGCTGCCCATCACTGCCATTAACATTAAGAGGAGGAATGCAGGCAGTGTTAGAGTCCCGGAGCAAAGGATGCGTCATTTCTTACCTTTTCCATCATGTTTAACCCACCAATGTGGGTGCTGCCCATCACTGCCATCGAGATTAAGTGGAGGAAGAAAGGCAGTGTTAAAGTCCTGTGGCAAAGGATTTGTCATTTCTTACATTTTTCCACGATGTTTAACACAATGTAGCACAGCTTTTTTACATAATCACTAAGTAAATTCTGAAGAATAATAGTAATATCTGCTTGTGCAGGATCAGGCCTTAAAAGATGTTAAAGAAAGTACTTTCCTAGATGGGGACATGACTGGTCAGTGTTAAAATGCCAGTATTTAATGATTGACACTGTGAAGTTAGAAAAATTATTTCCTATATTGCATAGGAAACAGCGACTTCAAGCTCCACAGGGCATGTCCTTTTCTGCCTTCAAGTGCTTAAGGTTAAAAATCTGTTCAGGTGGTATGCTAAGCTGAGAAGCAATAAAAGAGCTTGGGGTCTGTCTGCCTGCTTTCCCCATGCCCTCTGCTGTGTGTGTTGTGTGTTCTCAGGAGTGTGCCAGCGAAGGAGGGGAGTGCTGCAACACCTGCACCCTGACGGCGGGCTCCCAGTGCAGCAACGGGCTCTGCTGTCGCAAGTGCCGGGTAAGGGCAGGGACCTCGCTGCAGCATCCTGCTGGGAATGCATCCAGGTGGCTGCAGGCACCGCAGCACCTCTGCTTCCTTGCAGACCTCGTGATTATTTTTCTGAAAGCTTGCTTTTTAGAATTGGCTGAAAACTGGTTCCTCTGGGGCTATTGTCTGTCTTTTCACTGAATTTCACTGAATTTCTCTGAATTTCTAGAGTTGGAAGGGACCATAGAGATCATCTAGGCCAACTCCCCTGCTGAAGCAGGATTGCCTAGAGCTAGAGCATGTTACTCAGGAGCATCCAGGCGGGTCTTGAAGATCTCCAAGGAAGGGGACTCCACACCCTCCCTGGGCAGCCTGTTCCAGGGCTCTGTCACCCTCCCCGTGAAGAAGTTTCTCCTCATATTTGAGTGGAACCTCTTATGTTCCAACTTGTGCCCGTTGCCCCTCGTCCTCTCAGTGGGAACCACTGAAAAGAGTCTGGCTCCCTCCTCCTTCAACCCTCCCTTGAGATACTTGTAGGCGTTGATAAGGTCTCCCCTCAGCCTTCTCTTCTCCAGACTAAAGAGTCCCAGCTCTCTCAGTCTCTCCTCATAAGGGAGATGCTCCAATCCTTGAATCATCTTTGTTGCCCTTCGCTGGACTCTCTCCAGCAGTTCCCTGTCCCTCTTGAACTGGGGAGCCCAGAACTGGACACAGTACTCCAGTTGTGGCCTCACCAGTGCAGAGTAGAGGGGGAGAATGACTTCCCTTGACCTGCTGGCATCTTGAAGCAGGGACTGTGATCAAATGCAGGGGTGAATTAAAGCTTTCCAGTTTTAGACAAGTTTGAAACAGGCTGAAGTTGGACAAGGTTTTGTTAGATGTCCTTGTCTGAGCACGCACATCCTTACCCGCGTGCCGCTCCCAATGCCCTACGTGTTCCTCTGTGTTTGATTCATGAGACTGAATGGGAAGATCCTATCAGAGAGGCCTGAGAGAAAGCTATAGTGAAAAAAACAAACCCAAAACAGCTCAGCTAGCAGAATTGGTCAGAAGTGTTCATCTAAGACACCTGACCTCGCGTGCCGCTCCCAATGCCCTACGTGTTCCTCTGTGTTTGATTCATGAGACTGAATGGGAAGATCCTATCAGAGAGGCCTGAGAGAAAGCTATAGTGAAAAAAACAAACCCAAAACAGCTCAGCTAGCAGAATTGGTCAGAAGTGTTCATCTAAGACACCTGACCTCAGTTGCAGTTAGCTCTGTTTGTGTCTCCTTATGTTTGGACTGACTGAAATCACATTGAGTAAAGGGAATCGAGCCTTATGTAAACTATAAGATATTCTTCCTGATACATCAGTAAATAGTAAAAGGAGTTTAGCCAGATCTTGGCTGTAAGCGAGCCCAGCTAAATATAACTTCAAATAGCTGTTTATACTCATTTAGTAATAATGATAATTATTATTAATGCTATTAAAACTGCAGTGCGCTATGTGCGGTATTTTTATCTTGGGCATTATCTGCGGGCGTTTGAGGGTTTCATTTCCTTAGGAGGAACATTAGTCATAACTGTGGACCACATTCTTATCTTTGCTCATCCTAATGTTAAAAAAAGAAAAAACACAGATTATGCTGGAACAGATCACATTTCCCTAAGCACATCCCTGTTTTTTAATGTAATTTAAAAAAATAAGCAGATTGCCAGTGTGGGTGAATTTTGTTCAAGTATCCAAGTCACATAGGCACCATATTAAAGACTATCAGAAAAAAAATTAAGCTTCTGTGTACCTACATTATTTTTGCAAACAAAACAAGGGTTTATCTACATATAGAGTGGTGAGGGTGAGCCAATGAAGAGAAAGGCAAAATTTGCAAAACACACGTCCCTAGGAGGTGTTAATCAGGACAATTCAAAAGACAGTTCCCAAACTTGGGGTTGCCTTCCCCTGTAATACCCTGCCTGAAAGCAGGAATGGAGGAAGGATTGCGAACAAAGCATGGTGAGTGTAAATCCCAGCATCCCATACTCTGACAGTATTCCTGTCTGTCTGCATTTTTCCAGAGCCTGGTAGGAAAAAGATAAGCTGAAGGCTGAGAATGTGCCAGAGTCTGGCTTTTCCTCTGCTGCGTGCCCGTTCACACCAGCTGTGGAATTAGCAGTTGTCCCCCAAAAAAACCCTGAATGTGCATGCAGATCCAGAAAATAAAAATAAAAATCACAGGGCTGCAAATGAACTGGGTGTCACAAACTTCAGAAAGCTTTCAGGGAAAATAAGGGGTCCGCACTAACAATTGCCACTAATGGGATGTCTTCCTGCTTTTACAGGTCTTGAGAGTTAGCACAGAAGTCTTTAACCAAAATGCCTAGTTAGGTCACTGATACATTTTTTATTGTTAAATATCTGGTCACTTAGAAAGTGGCGTCAAACTGTACAGAATTCAGTACATTTATTAATAGTTTCTGTTCTACAATGGTGCATTGTAATAACCATAGTATTTATACCCAGAGCTCTGCAGTGCTCTTCATCCCTAGCAAGGAAATCAGGATCACTCTCCCTGTTTATTAAAGAAGAGTAAAATAGTCACAAAAAGGCACAATGACCTGGTGTAGATGGTGCTGCAAGCCCCTGCATGCTTATAAAGCATTGCATTTAAGGCAAGATCTGGAGAAATCAAGACACTAATTTTCTGTCTTTTTTTTTTCAGTTTGAGCCTAAAGGAGTTCTGTGCCGAGAAGCAGTGAATGATTGTGATATTGCAGAGAACTGCACAGGAAATTCCAGTCAAGTGAGTTTTATATCTTCTCTCCAGGAGATGAAAAAAAAGCACCTGTAGTCTCTCGACTCTTGATCACTATGAATGTTACTTGTTTTGTATAGTAAGGTGTATAAAAATTGTATTAAACCTGCTGATGCTAAAAAACAAGCATAATACTGAAATAATTTTCCATATGACATTTGTTGTGTGCTTTGCTCCCATGCTTATCTGATCTATGATCTATTAATTATTTTCTCTTTCTATAGTGTTCTCCCAATATTCATAAAATGGATGGATATTCATGTGATAACAAGCAGGTAATTAGCACGTCAATTTGTTTTACATTCTTTCTGCTTTTATAGATTGTATTTTATAGATTTTGGTTTGAGATCTGGAAGTCACCGGGGACAGTTCTGCTGACATCCCTGAGTTTTGGGTGCTAGTCAAATTTTGGAGCTAAGCATTTAAATGAAGAGAAAGTAGAATCACATATTGATTGCCTCAGTAGAAAGCATGTGACAAATAGGTATATTAAATAACTACATATTTTGGAAAATCAAGTTATTCTAAACTTTTTCTGTATCGTTTCTTTCTTTCTAGGGTATTTGTTTTGGAGGAAGATGTAAAACCAGGGACCGACAGTGTAAATATGTCTGGGGTGAAAGTGAGTGAATGTGATTGTTTCAAAGTTTGCTGTCATTCACATGGCTTGAAAGATTATCTTGGCTAATTGAAATTATGGAAGAGATACTTAGAACCATTAAAAACAGCTTGGACTGTATGTCCCTGCCCTCTTCCCACATCCCCCTCCCCCCCCCAAACCCCGAGTTTTTCTTTTTCAGTTTTTCAGCTCTTTGCCTAGTGTTGGTTAAGTTACTGGTGATTATTCTGAAGTCTTAGGGTTAAGTTCTCATTAATAACCACCTAGGGAACCTTTACTCATATTTATTGATTTATTTCAGTGGCTTCTGGAGGCATTTTGGATCAGTAAACCCTGGTCAATCTGAACAAAGTTTTAAAACAGTCTTGTGGTGCCAACGTAAAACTTTTCATTGAGAAACTGTGCAGAGTTTCACAGGCCACCTGCAGACCGTGGTGCTGCGGTTCACAGAGCAGGAAGCTCTGCTTGCTTGGATCATGCATCCCCGTTTCCCAGGACCTGGCTCTTCAAAGTCTTCATCATCTTAGAAGAGATTTGTTTCTGTTTTCAGAAGTGACAGCTGCTGACAGGTACTGCTATGAGAAGCTGAATATTGAAGGGACTGAGAAGGGGAACTGTGGAAGAGATAAGGACTCTTGGATACAGTGCAATAAACAGTAAGTTGATCCATTTAGAAAACTTGTATGAGGGTTTTTTTTTTGTTCCTGGTCCAGTTCTTTAGCTAGCATGAAGAGGCTCAAAAAGCCTCTGTATGGATCAGACTTCTCCTGACCATCTGCAGATCTTAGTGCAGGAAATTCTGGAGGGAGCAGAGTGTCAAGAGGCGATGATCTCTGACAAGAGAGCTGAGCTTTGGGAGCACTTGGACCAAAAGTGGTCCTGGTACTCTTGGTGAGGCTTAGCAGTGCAGAGGAGAGCAGCCTGTTGGTCTCACATCTCAGTGTGGGGTTCACCTTTTATGCTCTCTGTGCCAGTGCATTGCTAAGTTCTGTTCAGTTTTCATCATATTGTAACTTTCCACATCTTTTCCTGCAAATGCTGCCTAAACCAATGTTTCACATTCTCTATTTAAGCAGTTGATTATTTCTGCCTATTTGTGAACCTTTCTCCGGTCCTGATCAAACTGCACCCTAGTTTTTCAGATGAGTTCTCCCTTCTGTAAAATTTTAGTCCTGCCTACAAGTGAAATAATGTTCTTTTCTACCTTTTGGTGCAGATTTGATAACCTTACTTTTGTCCAATTACAAATTCATGAGTAAAAAATACTCAGTAATACGAGAGAGGACAGAGAGTGCACGAGTCTCTGCACACGAGTTGTAAACTCTCTTCAACAGCTGAATTCAACTTGGTGTCTCTAGTTCCCTTACGTATGTGTCATATGAGAGTTTGTTTGAAGCCAGTATCTCCTGCTTCTCCTCCCTGGGCCAGTTACTGTATCTTACTAAGATATTAAATCACTCTGATGTGATTTGTTCTTGACAGCTCGGTGATTGCTATTACTCAGAGCATTTCTGATAATACATCATAAAATAGACCCTTTTCCCAGTCTAAGCTCCAAGGAGAATAATTTTCTTAGGAAATAAGACATTATTTATGGGAGTTACTGTCAGTGGGAGAAAAGTAAGGAATAACAAATATGTTACAAAGCAAGTGAAGAAAGCCACATTTTTTTGATCATCCATTTTCACTGAATTTTCTTTTCTGTGAGTATCTGTTTATTCTCTCCATGCAGGGATGTGCTTTGTGGATACCTCCTGTGCTCCAATATATCCAATGTGCCCAGACTTGGAGAACTTGATGGTGAAATCACATCATCAGTCTTGCAGTTTGGAAAAGTTTACAATTGCAGGTAATTGGAAATCCTGAAAACAGAACAGAGACAGTCAATATCCATCTCGCGTAGAAAAGCAGCTTTCTCATTCCTAAGTGGAGAACAACTGTTTCCATTAATACTTTTTTTCCCTATTAACACATAACCATTATTCCAGCTCAATCTTTGTTAAGCTTCAGGAAACTGACTGGGGGAGGGTGGGAGTGCAGCTGCTTTGCGGTCCCCTCTGTGTAGTAGTTAATTTTCCCTGTAGAGACATAATGCTCTTCTCTGGCCTCTTGATTTTACATTCTTTAATGTTTGCAAAGTACTTAATGTACTCAAAATACTTAGACATACGCCTGCACTGCCAAAGCTAACCGGCAGCTTAATACATTGCCATATGTTAGCTGAATCCCAGTTACAGACCTGGTGTGTTCTCCTCACTTCACGCAGTTGTAAGATGCACTAAAGTCCTTCAAAAGTAAACTCAGTGTTTTATCTAACTCCAGCTCTTACACAGGAAAAATGATCTTAGTTTTCACCATTACATTTGATTGATGTAGATATACTGTGTTTTGGTTTGTTTCACGTTATGGCCAGCATTTCCTTGCTCTTTCCTGGTCCTGGGCATTGTATAACGCAGCCAGAAATGAAGGCAGCAGCCCAGAGCCCAGTTTCTCAACAGCTTCTCAGTCCCATCAAGAATCATAGAATCATAGAATTGTCTAGGTTGGCAGGGACCTTTAAGATCATCTAGTCCACCCATCCCCCTAACTGATAAAAAACCAAAAGAAACCCATACAACCCCCCTCCCCCGCCACATCACTAACCCATGTCTCTACGCTCTCTGTCAATCCCTCCAGGGATGGTGCCTCCACCACCTCCCTGGGCAGCCCATTCCAAGGCTTCATAACCCTTTCTGTGTAAAATTTTTCCCTAATCTCCAATCTGAACCTCCCCTGGTGCAGCTTGAGGCCGTTCCCTCTTGTCCCATGGCCGGTGACTTGGGAGAAGAGACCGACCCCCCCTGGCTACCCCCTCCTTTCAGGGAGTTGGAGAGAGCCAGAAGGTCTCCCCTCAGCCTCCTTTTCTCCAGGCTGAACCCCCCCAGCTCCCTCAGCCTCTCCTCAGGAGACTTACTCTCCAGACCCCTCACCAGGTTCGTTGCCCTTCTCTGGACCCACTCCAGCCCCTCAATGTCTTTTTTTCTTGTGGTGAGGGGCCCAAAACTGGACCCAGCCCTCGAGGTGGGGCCTCACCAGTGCCCAGTACAGGGGGACCATCACCTCCCGAGTCCTACTCCCCACGCTGTTCCTGACACAGGCCAGGATGCCGTTGGCCTTCTTGGCCACCTGGGCACACTGCTGGCTCCTGTTCAGCCAACAGTCCACCAACACCCCCAGGTCCTTTTCTGCCTAATCTGAATCTGATGATGGCATGAGTCTCTGGAATGCTTTTGGATTTCTTGCAGTGGTGGCCATGTGAAGCTCGATGAGGACACAGACCTGGGCTATGTGGAGAATGGGACGCCATGTGGGCCGAACATGGTGTGCCTTGAGCATCGCTGCCTCCCCACAGAGGCCTTCAACTTCAGTACCTGCCCAGGCACCACAGACACTCAAATTTGTTCAGGACACGGTGTATGTTCTTGTACTCTTTAATCCTTTTTTCTGTTGTTATTGAGTAGCTGGTGTTGTGTAGTGTAGTAGCTAGACCTTTCAGAAAGCCAGCAGCATGACTCTAGAAGTCTTTATACTGGAGAAGCTTTTGAAAAGGAAAGGGAGGAGAGGCACATAAGTAAACATAACCCATAGCACTCAAGGTATCTTAAAAAATGAGTCATAGTAAGTATGTATTACTTCTACAAAAATTTTCATTCAATCATTCAGTTCTTTTCGATCACTTCTGCTAACTTGATTGATATTTCCTCAGGCAACGCACTGGAGAACAGAAAGGTTTTATGAACTGAGAAACTTAGGTCTCTGTTCTTCCAGATGCTCTTTTCAATTCCCTCTTGATTGTGTCAACAGCCAAGAAGGTTCATGAGGTTCTTGATTTTGTTCACTGAGAGTCCCTTTGCTGTAGTGAGGAGGGCAGTGAGCTGGCTCCTGGCTGGTGGCAGCTCCTCCGCTTGGTGCAGGGCGTGTGGCTTTGCTGTGGCCCTGGCTGAGTCCCCTGGTCCTTCACACAGTTTGAAAGTGTGTCCAGGTCCCTCTGGCTGAGCTGAGATCAAAGGAGTTGATCTCTCTCAACATCTTTTGTTTTTTACACTGCGTTAAAACTTGTTTTTTTTTAATCCGGAATTAACCGCTTCATATTTTGAAAAAATAAAATCACTGAAGTTCAGTCTCCCAAAGCAATTATAAATGGCTCTATTAAATATATATTACGTTAAAATATATAATTGTGCCTAATACATACTACATATATTTATATATAAGGCATAGTAATAGATTTAATACATTTATACCTAATATATCAATTTAAAATTAATGTATATTAAATGTTTTACACAATTTTACAGGCAGTCAAAATCAGTGATAGATGACTGTACCTATACTGTATGTATTAATTAGGGGAACAGATTAATTTCACGATTTTATTCTGAGCTACACTTCTGGCTGCAGGTTTGTAGCAATGAAATAAAGTGTGTCTGTGACCGATTCTGGGGAGGAGATGACTGCAGTTCTCGCATCAAAGACGATATGTTTTTTGATAAAGATGCCATCAATAAAGGTATGTTGTTGCAATTTTTACCAGTAGCTGGAAAAGCTTGGATTTGAGGAAGGTTTCATGAGGCAAAACTAGGTCTCCTACTCCTTGAGTTAGCGTACGACACGAGCAGGGTGAGGAGCCTTGTTCCCCCAGCAGAAGCTGGGGGGACACAGGGACACAGGGACACCTCACTGGGTGTCTGTGAGGTCTCACCAGGGGCTGGATGTGCCCCTCTGGGGACTGGCGTGGCTGTTGTGCCTCGCTTGTCCCCATCACTGGGGTGGCCTTAGTAAGTGTATTGATAGATTGGGACAAGCAAAGAAGAGTTACTGGGGCTTTTCGTGTCTCGACGGAAAGGTGATGTTGCTTACGTGATTGGGTTTTATTTGTTGAGTCAATTTTTTATTACATGGCCAGCATGCGGAATGTTGGCATCCAAATTTTAGGCTTTTACATTTTTTTGAGTGAAAGTTTTAATTCATCTTTATGCTTCCGTACAAGAGAAAAATATACTGTGGTAAAACCATGGTGTAAGTGTTTTTCGTTGCAAATCCTTGTGGGAGGACAGTTTTACCATCTTCCAGAATATCTCTTTTGATTAGTTTATTCAGCTGTGGAAGGGATTTGAGCAAAACCAAACAAATAGTCGCTTTTATTCCAATGCAAGCAGGTGTTTGCCAGGCAGCCTATAAGGGTGTAAGCTACAATACTTCAATATCGATAACCTTATATTGGCAAACATGGCACAACTTTCCCCTGTAGCAAGTGTTCAGTTAAGGAAGTGGACACAGAGGTCAAAGCTTGATTTACAAACAGTCTTTTTATGTCCGTGCTGTACTTCAAGATCGTATCACTGGTTACAATTAATCAGTCTAGTGCAAGTTATCCAAGCAGGTTTTTGAAAGACAGTACATTTACTGCTTTTGTATATTTTTTTCTCCTAAAACCCTGTATATTTTTCCCCTTTCTTGTGTTTCCAGGTGTTGTTAGCACAAATATAATAATAGGGGCTATTGCTGGCACCATTTTAGTGTTGGCTCTCGTTTTAGGAATAACTGGTTGGGGTTACAAGTAAGTAAATTGTGTTTTCTTAATACAGTTTAAAAATATGTTTATTTCCTCTAATAGCTGATTATGTTATGAAAAGAACAGTTCAAACATAATCTAAAAAATCCAAATTGGATTATATTTATACAGTGATATTTTTATAGTATTAGCATTTTTCAAGCAATTTGTACATGTGTATGTGCTTTCGGAGAGCTTGATCCAAGGGTGAAATTTACTTATTATTTAGCTGTTTCTTTTCTTTTTTTTTTTTTGGTAGATGATCAGATTATGATTTTACTGTATCTGACAAAGGAAATACAAGAATACAGCCTGATTAAATTATAAATCTTTCCTAATGACAACATAAATAGAGCAAGATCAGCCTTCAGTCAGTAAAGCATTTAATCATAGGCTTCTTTATCAGAGGCTTATATTCAGTCAGCTTAACCTGAAATTAATTCAGGCACATTTTCCAGTAAGAGAGAGATCTATATTTGGAACTAAGATGCAAGTTCTTTCCTAGTGTAGAGCTGTCACTGGTCCAGGCAAAGTGGATTATTTTAGCCTGACTGATCTTTTTCAGTTTTTCTCCTTTCGTGAATTTCTTCTAAAAAGAGAGGGGTTCAGATTTTTTACATGTATTAAAAAAAAGGATTCCAGGTGCTTACTTTGTCACCTGTGTTGGGGTGAGCCTGGGTCTTGCAGCCCTTCCTCCGCAGGTGGGTGGTGTGCATTTGGAAAAAGGGATTAACATTAGGATAGTAGAATAGACTTAAACTCATCGTGAACTGCACCTCCAGTTCTGCGCTGACTTTAGCCATCAACATGAATATATTTTCTTTGTTTATTCTGATTTAGTATGTTTATAAATATGTTTATTTCAGAAGTGTTTTCTGTAGAAGTATTTTGAGCAAAAATTTAATTCTGCATACATTGCTTTTCTCCTTACATTTTTTTTCTTATTTGGCCATGTATACCTGCCTACTGATAACATTCCTTTTTCTTCCTTTCTCTTCCCCTTGTGTGGAAAGAAACTACAGAAGACAGAGGTATGTGATAAAAGTAATGGAATGTATCTTAGAAAGCTCTGAAAATAGCTTTTCTTCTCTCTTGCTCATTTATTTACATGCTATAAAATGCTATAGTGATGAATTACTGTATTTTAAAGAATATTTGAAATTGGTATTTATTCTATAAATGCTTTGCTTGAAAACCTGATATCACTGGACTCCAGCAAAAATAATATTTCCTTCTGAGATAGCCTATTTTGTTTAGGAAAACAGGAGAATATTTCCAATAAGAGAGACAGAAAATCTGCTATTAGAGAAGAAAGTGCTCTTGGGAGACTGAGAGCCGAATTAATATTAACATAATGTTCAGGAGCCTTTTGAGACAAATTCATTCCTGGAATTTCTTGGCAGTTAAAAATACAATGCAGTTAAATTGCTGAGTGAATAAAGAGCCCGTTCTTTCCCACCATCCTGCTCGATTGGTTTGAAGCAAAACTCCTCAGCACAGGGCTGAGCTTTCACCAGTTCAAGCTTGTGGCCAAAACCCAAGCAGTTCCTAGTGAGTTGGGTTTGGCTCCTGGAAGACCACCTCCCTTGGATCAGTCATCTGCCTGGCAGATGGGTCTTCTGGGAAGGAGTTAGCTCCTTCCTCTCCCAGTCCCCCACAGATAAGAGGGTTTCTTGAATTCCCCTGTTTTCTGCCTGAATCACTGCCTCCTGGTCAAGCTGCTGCTTTGTTTGTTGCCACTACTCCTGCTTGTTCCCCATGTCCATAGTGCTTTCTCTGCCAGGCTCAAAATACTTGCAAAAAGCAGAAAAGCACTGCCAAGCGCTGGTTGTGTGCTACAAGGTCATATAGGTGGCAGGAACAGTAACAGAAAAAGGCAAAATAATTGAAGTAAAGCGTTACGGAGAGGTTGGTGGGGAGGAAACGTCACTTGGCACAAGGAAGCCAGAATTTCAGGGTTTGGTGCTGCTTAGTGGAACACAGTGTATCTGTCAGTGGGGACTCACATGCCCATCAAGCTGCTCTACTGTGGATGTTTCAGTGTTGGCTGAAGACAGAGCAGCCAAAACCTCAAATTATGGAAAAAGACCAGCCCATGCATGTTCACATTAGAATATTAGAGAATCTAACTTCTTCAAATCCCCTTGTCTCCAGAAATCAGTATTTGGATGGAGAGCTGTGAGTATGCAGTCAGTGGGATTGGGCAGAGTTGGGGGGTTGGACTAGATGATCTCTAGAGGTTCCTTCCAACCCCATATCTTTCTGTGATTCTATGAAACCAGCATAAGCTGTGGTGATGGAGGGCTCCATCATTTTAAAGATGATGGAGATATTTAGTAATGAATCTCCTTCATGCAGAAAATGAAGTTCTCTAGGCTGACTTCTAAATGGAGTATTTTTGCATATGTACAAGGAGTGCTCCTTAAATGCAAAAATCAGACATCTACCAGAATGTCCAGTGTCCTTTTTTAAAAAAAAAAATTACGATTACTCCTTAAATAAAGATGAAGACAAGCCACTGAGGTATTTTTCAGCATAACATAAGGAATGATACTTGGTAGTACCAAGCAACTGAAATTTGTAAATGAAGTTTACCCCACGCTGGGTCAACTCTGATCACACCCACCTAATGGCCCAGGGAGGGAAAGACCTGAGACTGGAGAGGTGTTAGGAGAAATGCAGTGGGAGTACTGTGTTACACTAATGATTTATGTGCCTTATAATTATATATTTTTAAATACCTTAGAAGCATTAAAAATTCAGATATGGAATGAAGAGAGCCCAGTTCTGGTCTGTAGTTGGACACAATCTGAATATGAATCAACCTTCTGATAAATGCGCATCTTAATAGGGGCAGACTGAAGCAAAATGGCCTTAGAAAGTGCAAGACTGAATAGATAATTAAGTTGCTGGTATTACGATATAGCCAACCTTTAAAGTAGCTACTTGTACTAGGGAGGATTTTTCAGCTTCATGGAACTGTATCTGGAATATTTGCATGGCAGTTTTTCCGCTGGCAGTGAACTCACCATCTGCAAAAAAAAAGCTGCATAACTTGTTTAGGACTTCCTAATGCATAGATAGTTTTATGCACGATAACCAAGCTTCTGGTATTGGAAAAGGATAAGCTGTTGTCAGACATGTGTGGCATTATTTTTGTCTGTCTGGGCAGATTGAGTCTCCTGTGGTAACCCGGAGTAGCTGAGAACCTCTGACCTGGTGTTAGTTCCCCTGCACAAGGAAACAGCTATTAAAACTGGAGGTTTTTCTCCTCGTGAGGTTTAAAAAAACTGAACAGGTTGCTGTTCTTGAATCCAATAATGATCACAGAAGTTAACTATAAAGCACCTACCTCAGAAGGAAAAAAGAATTGACTTTTCCTGAACTCCTTTTGCTGCAGGCGTGCATTCAGCTCAGGCTGTGGTGCTCCTGCTGCCCCTGAGGATGGCTTTCACAGCTGGTGTGAGGAGCCCTTTGAAATGTCTGAACTTGCCTATCCAATGTCTCAAGAACCCCAAACTAGTCACTTTGAAAATTGGGTCAGAGTTTATCAGTGAAACGTTCCTTGTTTTCCCTACCAAAACCACATAACCCACTTTTCTGCATCTATCAGAAGCCTGTGGGAGTTTTCTCTCAGCTGGTTGAATTATTTATTAATAGGCTTATGGTGTGTGGTTAACAGGATTCCTCAAGAATCGCTACCCTTGCCTCTTCCTTTTAAACTGATACTTGTGCATGTTTGTGTATGTGCTGGTGCCTGTCATGTTTTCTGACTACAATGTTTATTATACTTTAGACAAATACCCCAGGGAGATTATGTAAAAAAGCCTGGAGAGGCCGACTCTTTTTATAGCGACATGCCTCCTGGAGTCAGCACAAACTCTGCGTCTAGTTCTAAGAAGAGGTCTGCTTTTCTGTCGCATTTTCAGATTTCTACCTGTTCCATCACCCATTATTCCATTAGTCAGAACATTTCATTGTTTTGCAGCAGGTTTGATTCTTTCTTCTTTCTTTGGGGAATGTTTGAAATAGCATCCTTTGTGCTCTGATTACTGATTTTTCTCACATGCCCTGAGTTGCTAATTATTACAATTAGGCTAGAGTAAACAAGTTTTCCATTGTAAACCAATTTTTGGTTAATCAAATTTTCATCATCTCCCTGCTTGAGAATTGTTTTCAAGTAGACTGTAATAATAATTGCTGGCTCAAAAAAAAAAAAAAAATTGAATCAAAGAACCAGAGTTTTTAAAATCATGGTCATGTAATCAAAGAAAAGGAACACTGTCTTGTTTCAATAATAATTATAAACATAAACTGTTCAATATAAATGTTGCTTTTATATCTTTGTCATGTCATTAATTCATTGAGTTGACCTGGAGTTCTGGATAATATTCTTGTCGTCTCGCATTAAAGATGATGGTGCTTGCATTTTATGCCACTTACTAGGCCTGTATACTGAGGGTTGTCTTAGAAAATAACTCTACAAAGACTTTCTGTAGTTTTGTGCTTGCTATTATGAGTAACCAAGGAGGGCATTAGATTTTGCCCTTGATCCGATTTCACTAATTCTGTTATTGTTATAGTTAGTTTAAAAACCCAACAACATTTTAAAATGGAAAATTCATTGAAAAGCATTGAGAGTCATTTGTAATTGCTACGGTCAAAAGGTCATGATGCTCACCATCCCTCTGGAGTAGAGATCCTGTAACTATGAAAATCTCCAGCTAACACTTAAAAACTATTTATGAGAAGCACTATGTCATAGGAGGGATAGACAATCCTGAACTGCTTCATAATTCTCAATTCATGTCTCACTGGGCAGTCGTAACTGTGCAGTTGATGAAACCAATTCCTTTGTTGTTATTTCAATGAAAGGAAATGCATGGAAGGGATACATGGGCAGTGAGGTTTACTATTTGGGTATAGCAGCGTGATCCCATCTGCAACTTTGTTCAGCCTGTTCTAGTGAATATGTTATTAAGAAAACTGTAGTTGTGTAAAATCAATTGATTTCTAATTTTTAAATTTAGCTTTTTAGATTTGTGAGTGGATAAATTATTTTTTTCTGGGAGCAAGCATTAATCTTTAATGATGCACTGTTTGTCTTGGAGAATCTTTTCTCATTTGGATAAAATTTTTTAAAAAGTCTCGGGGAAGCAAGTTTTCACAGCTTGTGCAAGCAGGTTCAAATGCCAGTTAAGAAAAAAAAAAAAGTTTGGTTTTAAATTAATGTCATTTAACATGTTTCTTCTTTCATTCAGTATCTATGTTTCTCTTCATTTCTTTCATGTGTCTCTGTTTATTGTTTGTTTCAATAAGCTAATGGCTTCTAAGGTCTGTCTGTACTAGAGAGTTTTGTTGTTCCCTACCACCAGTTGAGGTACGTTGTGCCACTGTAACGTCTGGAAACGTAAGTCTGACAAATACTCCATTTCAGTGCCCAAAGTGCTATTCCCTACCTTTCAAGCTGGTTCTGATTTGCTTTGTGTGCAGACATGGATGACAGCTCTTGGGAGACATTAGATTGACCAGACCATTAGCTGCCTCTCCTTCTCCATCCTGGAAAGCACTATGAAGTGTTGGTATTAGGATGTTCAAGGATTAAGAGATGGCTCTTTGATAACTCTTGCTATTATGAAACAGCAAACATCAAACCCAGTATATAGCAAGACACTCCTGAACCTGAACATAGACCATTAGGAGGAGAAAATTATTTAAAAATCCATTAATGGATCTGTTGGTTCTCAGACATTTCATGCTGTAACTCTGTTTGAATTAATGAAACTCTGGACTTTGTTCAGTGTGGCCGTGTTAGCTGGGTCTTCTGGAAACTGAAGAGCATCTGTGAGATGCCTGTCCTCCAAGGAAAGGAGAGACTGAAAAATGCAAGAGTATTCAGACTTAAAAACAGCATAAATAGATCCTTTGAGCAAAACTTCTTTGTAATAAATAATCCATCTATTCTGACCAGTTTTCAACTTCCTCTTGTTTTTGTTTCTTTTGGTAAGAATTGGTAGATCTCATGGCAAACAGCTGAGCAGCAGCTGTAGCTCAACAGGAGGGAGCCTGTTGCAAAACCCCATGCGCTGGACGGTGCCACACACATCTCTGACTCTTGGAAGGAATATAAGAATTAAAACAAACTAGTTTGCACTAAGCACCCAGATAATAAAGACTGGTTTTGGCTTTGAGTTTGGCATTAAAATTATATACTGTAGTGACTAGCTGACGCAATACAATAAAAGTTCAAAATTAGCAAAAATAAGACAGAGTTACCCCTCCGCTGGAACTACCAGCTGTGGGTGGGAGTATGTTCATGGCGGACTCCTGGGCCCCTGAGGCCTGTCACAGTGGGCAGGGGGAAGCAGAGCATGAGGATGAGGAGGGAGCGGGCAGCCTGCAGGGGGAATGCAAGGAAAAATCACCTCCGGATGAGCACAGTTGGAAGAGCATCTTCCAGCTAAGAACTGGGGCAGAGCTGGAAGTCTGGTGTGTGCTGGTGTTGGTGGTTTCCACAGTAGACCATGGGAGAAGGCAGTGGCTGAAGCCTGGCCCTTGAGCGTGGACACACCAAACCCCTGCAGGGACACCTGGCAAAGTGTCACGGCAGGGTTTAACCAGAGACCCTGGGCGCTCTGCTAGTGCAGACAGACCTTAGGCTGTGTCCTGTCACTGGCCTCGGGCGTGTGGCGCTCTGAACCGCTGAGCTAACGGTGACATGAGGCAATGCTCCTAACAATAACTGCATCTGAGCCCTCCTGTTCCAGGTCAAATGGATTATCTCATTCCTGGAGTGAAAGGATCCCAGACACAAAACATATTTCAGACATTTGTGAAAATGGGAGGCCTAGGAGTAATTCTTGGCAAGGTAAGTGTAAACCTCTGTGCTGGCCGCAGTGGAAACCAGCCTTTGGGCCGTTGCTACTCTGCTGGAAGTTTGGTTGATCTTAGGACCGCAGCATGACACCGTAAATTGTGCTAAAAGTTACTAACCTGCAATTGGGATTTAGAAGCACTCTGCACAAGTAGCTTTTTTGCACAATGCTTTGGCTCATAGAAATGACATTTAATTTCTTCTACTCCTCCAGTGAGAGCTAACATGAAGAAAAGGAAGAGGTCTATTCGCTCATGTCAGCTTCTGTGCTTTTACCAGGCAGTACTTAGTGTTTTTCTGGAAGTGTAGTGATTTTCTCAAATAAAATTAAGGACTTTTTTACTCTGCACAGTTGCAGCAAAAAGTAGAGAAAGTTCACCTCAGTGTCAAGTTTACCTGGTCTGAGGTAAATCAAGAGGGACTGACCTGTGACTTTTAAATGGTTAAAGTTAATGAGGTAGCGACTCTTCTGCTGGGGATGCAAAAAGAATATACAGTTTGGCATGGGGCACAGGCGATTTTCAAGTTGTTTTACTGTCTGTCTTTATCCTTTGGTTTCTTTCAGGTAATATAGGAGGAAACAGAAAGAAAGTCAGAGGCAAAAGATTTAGGCCACGGTCTAATTCAACTGAGTAAGTCTGAAGTTATAAAAGCAAAGCCAAGAAGTACAGTTTTCATATTTGTGTTTTGTAGATGGAGATTAAGAGTACTGAAAAGTAGACAGCTGCATTTTTGTTCTGTGGCCCTTTCTCATTGCTGACTGATAATCTGGTAAATGATTTGGCTAATGTATTTCAACCTCTTTTTATGTATTCTTTAAAAATTAACTATCAATTTTCTTTTTTATGTAGGCTTCCTCACAGTGGTTCCCATAGCAATTCCCAATGATGGTGGCAGCCTGCACCATCACTGCAGGCTTTTGTCTACAGTAAACTGCCATTGCTGAGTGTATCCTGGTTCAATACTGAATTTCTGATAACCCCTTTCCTACCCTTGCCTTCACCTTGGGTTGGGCCATTGCAGAGTTAGAGATGTGTATCTTTGTGCACCTGTCTGGAGGATTTAGGAGCGGTATCTGTCTGCTTTGAGAGTACCCTGAAGTTTGTTGTTGTAAGCCTGAAAGAGCCAGTCTTGAGTAAGCCCTGCAGTAAATGGGTAATAAGAGTCCTTACCAAGAAACTGGTCCCCAGAGCTTTTCAGTATGACTTAGAGTTGCTTTCTCTATCGATTTGTTGGTTACATACTCTGAAGAGCCCATGTGTGCAGTGCTCCCCATAGGGAAACAGCCTTTCTTATGTACTTAAGCCTGCTGGTTCGGGCTCCTTTCGTGAATGAATGGTGAATGGTTGGAAACATAATCTCTTGGGCTTGTCAAGCACTGGCTGCTCGTACAGCTCTTACACCACACAGGAATGATCCCTTCTTTGACCATAGTGGTGATGACAGCGCCCTTTTCCCGGTGTCATTAGTACTAACTTTGCACCTGTGTGGGCAAACGGGCTTGATACCAACCCCGCTGGAAACTAATGATGCTAACTCCTCTCTGGGCCCTGTTTTCTTTGGTTTGGGGATTTTGAGTTTGTTCTGAAACTTTTCTTCCACCTGCAGTGCACTGTCTTGAGGTGAGTAGGCTCAGAAAGGTTCATAGAGCAGACCCTCTGTTACAAGTTACACAAGCAATAGTTTGATGCACATTGCAATTACAGCATTGCATGGTCAAAACGCAGCATCGAACCAGAAATTTTAGCCCCAGATCCCCTGGAGGAGTTTATCGGTCAAGTGCTCCTGTGCTCTTGGTCTTTGTGCTGATAAACTCTTACTGGAACATTATTCTGCTTGTTTTCTTTTCTCTGTGCATGAGACAGTTTGATAAAAGCAGAATTAGTCTGACCAACCTGCCAAGAATACAAATGAGATTGCACATTCTTCTTTAGAAAATTGTCCTGTGCTTTTCTTCACTTTCCAATTGTATTTCTTAAACAAAATTTGTTAAAAAGAAAAAAAAAAAAACAACTTAATGATACTATTAGTTTGTTATTGAGCAGATGTGTACAGTGGGGCAGAATTGGTCCACAAAGAATGAAACCAGATCAGCTCTTTTTAGCCTAGAGTCAACGTAGCTGGATGGCAAGACTATTGTAAAAGTATTCAGTAAAAGCAAAAAAAAAACCAACTAATGGATGTATTTTTTCCTCTGTGCTGCTTAGCTGGTATAGTATACATAGACTGAGAGCGTTGGAGCACCAAATAAGTGGGTAGATAGAGAGAGTGAGTTGGACAACTTTTTCCCTGTAAAGTTTTTTTCTCTTTTAAAGGTGCTCCTGATCTTCCACCTAATTCTCTACTTTCCTTCCTGCTGCTTGTTCTGGTCTCTCAGCCCAGCAGCAGGCCTGGAGCTAGAGGGAGGAGACTTGTCCTTCCCAAGGGCCGTGCAGCAGCCTGGTAGGGATGAAGCACAGCGTGTTGTTCCTGGAGAGACCTAAACAGGAAGATGCTCTTTCTCCTGATGCAGGGTCTATCCTGAATTGCACAGGACCGCGTGGCTTGTCCGAGTCTCCTTGGCAAGCCTGTCACCCTTTGGAGAGAGACCCCCCACTGAATGATCCAGGTGCTGTGCCAGTTTGGTCAGGAACAGAGAGAATTGCCGAGGGCCCCTGGTGGCTCTGGTTAGAGAGAGAAATTCCTTTGCGAGCAGAGAAAATTGACTGAGAATGATCTAACCGTGGCCAGCATTTACTCATTTAAAAAAGCAAAGAGCTTTTAAAAAAAAAAACAGCTGCTTTGAGCATGTCTCAGAATTCATGGAGGCTTTTCCCAGACAAATTTACCTTCTCACCTTCTCTGGGAAAACTAGAAGAATATTGAAATCTGTTCTGAAATGATGGATGGCTTTTGGAAGTCCACCTCTGTGGCTGCTGAGAGTCCTATGAAGTCTACTTGTTGAAATGGAAGAAAAGGGGTAGCACTATCGATCTCCTGTTAGTAGCAGAGATGGTGTCGTTAACCACTGGAAAATTGGGTTCATTTGTGTTATACCTTGTGCAGAATTCAGGTGGTTTTTTAAGTATTTGACATAGGCACAAGTCGTAACTGCACATATTATGCACAAGTTGTTTTCTCATACAGCCAAGCAGATAGAGACTCGTACCATCAATTGTTTAAGCAAAATTTCTTAAATGCTGAGCGAGGTTTGGGCTCTGCAGCCCTGACAAGCAGCACTGGCAGGAGGGTTGCAGGCACGTTGGGTGGTTCCTGAAATATATACTCATGCTCACGCCTTCGTGCCACCTCTTGTACCCAAGAGATAAAGGTGTAGCTCTATGGAGACTGCCAAAGCTCATTTGGGATGTTTTTAATTGTTCCTAGATGATTTAAAACAAAATTTGTGTTCTTTACTAAAGGCAGATGGTTCAGTTCACACAGGAGGAATGCCAACGGGCCAAATGTTTCTACAGCTTTTTCACAAGCAGGGCTGATGAAATGGCCTGAGAAAACAAGTTTTCTATTAAAACCAGTTCGATTTATCCAGGAATAATAGTGAGAGTTTTCTGAATAAGCTGACAGTTTAGCTGGGAGCTTGTGTTAAAACAGGTCCCGGGGAACACGCGTTTTGCCAAATAGCGATTCTGACTTTTTTAATTTGCACTGCTTTTCCTAGAAGTGTTTGTCTTCCTTGTTATAACTGATACAAACATCTTTGGCTTAGACTTTCTGTTATATATTGTCTTTTTGCAGCAGGGTAACCCATGCATCTGAGCCTGGGCTTTCTCTCGCCCACCAAATCCCGGCCCAAGGCATAAGCCCAGGGGGTTCTGAGCACCCCCAAACAGGGAGTCGGGATCACAGGTCAGTCTCACCTGCTCCTGCCTTCTGGGCTGCCCTTCTGTCCCGTCCAAGTCCCTTCCCCCAGTATTCGATAGTTTCACTGTGGCAAAACATGGTGACTGCTTGGAGGTGCTCCTTGCTGATGCAGCGCTAGCTAACCTTCCTCTTCGCCAGCCTGAGGAGTATGAGTACTCTTGATTGAGCCCAGGTCTTTTGCCTTCTTGCATGTTGTGCTGCAAGCCAAATCGAGCAGTTGGTAGAGTTATAGGCTTACGTCTAAGGACACCTGTGTTTTAAAGCGGAATTTCTCACTCAACAAAAATACGGATTCTGGTCATCACTAATAAATGTGTGGCCAGGAAGGTCAACCTGAGAGCTTCCCACCAGTATCACCCAGTGGTCTGCAGTAACTCGAGTTTAACCTTTCTGTAACAGATGAATTGAGGTGGTGAAGGATGGTCACAGCCAGACCCAGGAAACCCTGCAGTGCGGTTGTGCAACGGCTGCATGCTTTGATACCACCTTACACGTTGTTTTCTAATACAGGAAGCCCAATTGGGAGTGTTTTGTGGTTACCAAAAGATGCTTTCAAATGAAAAAAAAAAAAAAGCAAGTCAAAAGTACTGCAGCAAGTACAAGTAAAAAAAAAGAGCAAGTCAAAAGTACTGCAGCAAGTACAAGAAAATGTGTACTTGCACCTACAATTAAAGCTAAAGGAGAAGTTCATTAGTTCCTGGTGATGCTGGTCTCAGCCTGTCACTTCACTGGCAGTTCATCTGTTGCTGCGCTACCACTTTTGATGTTTTCTTTCTCTAAGAGCCCAAGCTGGAAAGCATAAAGCACTCCTGATTCCTGATAAATACGCGAGCTGAGGAAGCACTTGTGGCTGAGGGCGAGTACTTTCTGAGAGCTGTGGCTGTGCTTGCGCAGGGTGGGGAGGACAAGTTCCAGAGCAAAAAAGGAGCAAAAGAAGTTGGAAAAAGTGCTGCTGCTCTTGTTGCCAACGTGGTTTCAAATATGGTGGCGGAGGAACAACATGCTCTGCCCTAAACTTTACTCATCTGAGAAAGCCCTTGCGAGGCCTGTTCCCATGTGTAAGGTCATTGGAATCACTCTCATAACCAAGGGTGGCAAGAACTGGCCCAGAAACATCAAAAATAGCACAAAGAGGAATTTTCTTTCCCTTTTTCCTTGGTTACAATTTGTTTCCTATTTCAGAGCGTGCTAGTCTCTATTATATAAACGTGGTGACCACAAAGAATCGTTAAACTGTTGCTGTCCTTATACAACAAGAACAAACTTTAAAGTGGACCAGGCAGACTCCTGTTTCTACATTGCCTTTTTTTCTTAACATAACAGAGGGGGAGGAATTCGCTAATCTCGTTATTGGGGGCTAAGAGAAACTAGATACAAAAAAATAATTGCTTCTTCCCTGGTAATATTACTGTCAAATAATTAAACACCATCTTTATTTTTCCTAAAAAATGTGGGTTTGTTATCAAAATTGCTCCTGTAAAATGTGAGATAACTCTGCAGCTCATCTCCATTAAAGTTTCTTGTGGTCCTACCAGATTAAATGATCATTGAAAAATCAAAGGGTTATTTGTACATAATGTATAAATTGCCACTGCAGTGTCAAAAACAGTTCAAGCCTTTTTACACGCTGAGGCCAAAATCCATTCCTGTAGAAAGGGCCAAGCCCAAGTTTCTGCACTCATTAGGCTATTACCTTGCAATTTATTCTAGATGGGTGCAAACGTGTGTCTCCAACAAGCAAACTGCAGGATTGGAACCAAAATGCATCTTCATCCTTATTCTGAGAACACGAGAGGAGATTTGACCATGAGCTTAATGCTGGCCCTCTGCACAGGAGTGAATTTTGCCTTTAAGACATTGAATGAATAATGTATCCCACAGAGTTTCCAGATTAGTCAAACATATGGGTCTTGCTGTAGGTCAGATTTCCTCATGCAGTTGTACACATTGCCTAGTCCTCACCCAACATTCATACTGATTTATTTGCCATATTCACTTGCATTTTGGGGATGAAGACATCCTTGCTAAGCTTGTGCTGTGTGTTCTCAGATTTTCTATTCTTGTTCTTCTGCTTTCTCTGTTCCTTCCATTGCTTTCTGCAGGTATTTAAACCCATGGTTCAAAAGAGAATATAATGTAGCTAAGTGGGTAGAAGATGTGAATAAAAACACTGAAGGACCATACTTTAGGTATTTTGTAAATTAATTCTCTATCATTTTTAAGAGCTGTTCCAGCATTTACCAATATCTTGGGACTCCTATTGATTGTATAAATCAATACAAGTTACTGTAGGTGCACAGGGCCCCTCTTCTTTTGCTGCATTTTGATGTCTGTTTTTGGCTTCATGTGCAATTTACAATTCTTTTTCTGAATGTTTCAATGAAGCCATTGAAAAGGGTGTGTGTAGTGCATGCGTTCCCACCATCATCTATAGCTTGTAGTAGCTTTCTCATCATTTTATGCCAAGTAGTGTTTTATGGGCATGAGACATACTTATCACTAATATAATAGTATTAACTTAAATAGAATGTAATTTACTGAAGCAAGTGGTTTCATAACACACTGACTCTACCCACTGTCTTATGTTGTGCATACTAAAATATAAATGAAAAAGGGATAAAAAGTAGTGGTATGTTACCCTCAGCATACAATGATATAATTAATATATTGTAATTGGAAAATTAAATGTACGAGAATATGCTCCGCGCTCTATTTATCAAACCACTAGTGAATCTGTTACAAGTGAGTGTAGGGTCCAACCAAAAATACTGGTTTTGAGAAGGGAAAGTGTGTTTTTTTTGATCCATTCAAAGTTAAAGAGAAGAAGCATTTGTGAGTCTGACCTCCCTGCTGTACATGAATCAAGAGACTGAGAACATTTTAATAGATTCCCCAAAGACACAATCCTACAGCTGAGACAGAAGTTTGCATCAGCTGAAAAAATCAGCTAGCAGAAGAGAGAATGGAAGCCAATTTATGAGAAATTACATAAAGCATGAGAGAGATTGATGAAGCTGTAAGTTGACGTATCAGAAATGAAGCTGAAACAAGAATTATAGAAACACAAAGGAAGAGAATGCAAAGCAAAATCTGCAGTCAAAACAGTGAAGGAGGGTAAGGAGGAGTAAATAGAATCTTATCAATAATTTGGCTACATCAGTAGATCTGGTAATAGTGCAAAACATTCACTAAATATGTCCAGAGTGTATTTGGGGGAAAAAGAGTGATGGTGAAAAGAGATATCACAAGATGCTAATGAAACACTTCTATTCCAATAGAAGCACTGGCAGATATTAAATAGCAGAGTGGTAATTCAGTCATTTTTAGAACTAAAAAAAGTCCCGAAGTCTTAAAAGAGCATAAAATTGCCACTTTTTGGAGACAGTTTGTGTTTGCTTTCCATAACTCTTAAGTCACAGAGTAAGCTGCAGAAAGGCTTTCCAATGAACAGATAGGGCAAAGGAGGTTAATTTAAACCTGCCAGTCCTAATCTCTGTCCTGAACAAGGAGTAAAAATCCCTGCCACAAGAATCCAAGGCTTTTGGGAGAATGTTGTGACTTTGGCCAGTATCAGCCACCTCTCAGTGTTGGTGCTTGGACGTTCAGACAGAGGGTATTGTGAATCCAGCAGTTTTGCCATTGCTGGTTTTAGGGTTGGGATACAGGGTCCAGTTCAGTGTCCACAGTTCAACAACTGTTGATGGGAACTTAGTTAAACAGGTTTAAATTCCTGTGTGGGTACTCTTAATTCGGTTTTCATCTTTTAATATCGGTATATCTTGATTTAGTAACTAGATTAAATTGATGGGACTATGCTCTGCTCCCGAGGGTTTTCAGCTGTTGCATTGAATGAGTAACATTTCTAATTGCGTCTGAGATAAAGCAAGCGTTTTTTGCATGTAGATGAGGATTAAGCCGACCCATGTGAGTTTTGAGGGCTGCATAGCAGCAGAGATGAAACAAATTAAAAATTTTACACCCTAGAAGCTTACTAATGACTGCAGCAGTAGCTTTAGAAATCAGAAAGAAATTAGAATCAATTTTGAAACCTGTATGTCCTAATTAATTGAGGTAACCATGGGGAACAATTCTGCAGGTATGTTATGGAAGGCAAAGGATCAGCTCTTCTCCTGGGGTGAGTTGCCATGGGTTTATGAGAGGTTGAATTGAACAGTTTCTCCCTAAAACTCGGATGCAGTTTTGGTTACTCTGTGACAGACTAAAAAATATCGTTCCTAAGAATGGTGTGTCTGAACATCACATGGCTGGGGTTTGAGCCTGTGAAGTGACTCACAAGCAAAAGAAAACAAATCTTGTTTGGTAAACCAGAAAGTCAGGCTTAAGTCAGGCTCTCCAGCTGATACTCCTTTTTACGAATCACAGCCCCTGGATAAGAAATTTGCATCAGATAATTAGCAGAGTGGTATTTTTGTTACTAATCATCTTCGATTTCTCTTTTCTTTTAAAGATGTCATGAAAGTGACACCGCTGTTTTGCTTGTCTCCCTCTAGTTTTAGGAATAATGTGATGATGACTGGTGCTGTTGAAAGTAGAATCAGGAAAAACCACTTCCTACAATTCCTAGGAACTCTGCAGCCTTTCAGAAAATAGAGATAGTAGTAATCACAAAGACTTTCTCTGTCAGCTTAATAAAATGCCCTGTATAAATCAAAATTGTCTTTCTGACACCTTGAGTCCTAGTTTTTAATTTTTTGCCTAATCTACAAGTCTAATGGGTATTTCTATATAATTACTTTTTATTAATAATAATACTAGTAGCTGGTGTCTCTGGTGCCAGAAAACTCCCAGCTGTGGAATTCCCTTCTGTAAGAAAATAAGATCTGTAAAGGAAAATCTCGTTTTACTGCTCAAAGTCTAGGCTAGATTTTAATTTCATGTTCCAGGTCACAGCTGCATAACCCCAGGCAGGACACCTTTCCCTGATTGCAGCTTTGCTGCAAGGCACGCTGTTTTACCAGCCTGATAGTATTACTTATTTTTGTTACTGCCAATTTCAGTGGCCACTGCACAGCCTGACCTTATAAAATATGGTGAAGGGTTTCTTGAAAGACTCAGGAACCGTATCACAAAATAAACTGTTAGAATCCCAAAATGCGGCATTTCTGTAGATAACTTTAGATTAAAAAGACTAGAAAGCACCTTCTGAAGCCCTGAGCTGCCTACAGTTGACTTAATGCAAATATTTACAGTAGCTTAGATTCTATGGGAGTTTTTTAGGCATGAAATTAGTTTCCAAAGAAAACAGGTTTTTTAAATGAAGAGCCAGGATGCGTACCCAGAGGGAAGATGGCCATTCCGTATCAGAAAGGCATTGGTAAGGAGCATGGAGGGCAGGAGACCACAGGCTATCCATTTCCCTCTTATTTTTTTCTGTGCTTTGGTGTCCTTGCTTTCTTCCTCAGTTTCTTCTCAGCTCCTCCTCAGCTGGCCATCAGCCGGAGTTGGCTCTGCTGCGTGGTGAGGCCCGTTGCCTTCCTCTGTGAGCATCCAGCTGAGGCCAGAGCTGGGACCAGCCGTCAGCCCCCCGCTCTCCCTGAGACACCTTTAGCCTCTGCTTAAAGAAATAAAAAAAAAAAGTTGTCCTCATTGCAGCCAAAGCAAAAATATTATCCTTGTTGGCAGCCAATAATAATAATAAAAAAAGCCTGTTGATGTCAGTAAGATCAGGATCTCATTTCAGGAGTTAGGGAGAAGAGTTCCCTGGGGTGTGGGAGTGCCTGCTGCTGGGGCTGCTGTTTGGTGCTTAAAGTGGATGGCTCGAGCCACAGCCTCTGCCTTTTCTGCAGCCTCCGCCTTTTCTGCAGCCTCCACGGTCCCAGCCTCCCCTCTGCTGCTGGGCTTTCTGAGGGAGCTTGTGCACGTCGGTGGGCTTTAAAAGGAACTGCACTGAAAATGTTAAAATGTTTAGCCACATCGGTGTTTTCAGAAGGTCCCAGCTTCATAATGTAGGGTAATTTAGGCTGATGATGTCCTACAAAGAGCTGAGCCTACAGCAGCAAAGGCCAAGTTAATGTGATAGTATCTACATTTGGGCTTGAAGTCCAGGTTGAATGTTAATTGAATGTCATGGAATTGTTTCAGTCTCCAAAACAGAAGCAAGCAATCAGCTTATGAACAATTCAGATCTGTCAGGGCCACCTGCCTTGAGTTCACCTGAAATGACACTTGAAGTGGCAAGACAAGTCGTGTGAGCAGGTGACAGGTTTTTCCTGTGGGCCAATGCTCTCCCCATTTGGGATAGGAGCAGGCAGAGCAGGCAGGTGCCTGGCTGCAGGAGAGTGGGTGCAGGTGTCCTCCTACTGCCACCAAGTTTTGTTGTGAATCCCAGCATGGTCTCCCCACATTCTTAGTTTCAGCTGCCAGGACAGAAAGTGGACACAGAGTGGCCACTGCATCGTGCTTTCTGGTCAGAAATGAGAATTCTTGCAGTGTGTTGAAGTGCATGGCTTTTTTTGGGGTTGGTGGTGAGACCTCTGAAACTGGTCTGGCGTGTAGAGGGCAGAATGCAGTCTGCAGCCCGCTCTGCTTTCCTAGGGTTTTGGGCTTTTTTTGTAAGTTTCAGCTGGAAACAAGATTCGGCATTGAAAGCTAATGGATGTGATAGCAGGAGAACTGAAACCCCAGTGAAAGCTAAATGGATCACCCCCTGGACCAACCCGCTGTTTTGCCTCCCTTCAACCCCAGCGTCACCCGCAAGGCTCCCGGAATGCTGTCCCTTCCCATCCTGTAAATGAGAAAGGTGGTGTCTGGCTCTTTCTCATTTAAAGTACATGTGAATCTGGGATACACAGCACAGACGTAATTGCAGGGCAGGACCCGAGAAGTGATCAAAACCACCTCAAACAACTACACTTACATCACTCAAGATGCATCCTAAGCTGTGTGAGCACACGCTCAGCAGTGATAGGTCTCACAGGCTCAGCAGATGGCACTGGAGATGACAAAGCGCAGCACATCACTTCTGTAGCAGAAATAAGGGGACAGAGCCTGTGGGGGGAGGGCAAGGGCATTTCATTTAAGTGTGCAACTGTATTCTCCATAGTTTTGCACGTGCGGGTGAGCAGCAAGGTGCACATCAGTTAGGTGTGCAAACCGTGGGTGAGCTGGCAATGCAGAGCGGGGTTGAGAAGTAGGACATGCAGGCAGCTACTCTGGAGGTCTGGGCTTCAAAATCTTTTGGAAAGGCAGCATTGCATTTGAGTTATGGTGTAAAGCCACCTTGCTGCAGGCTTAGCTAGGGGCCCTGCTCAGATCAACATGCCCCCATCTTTGCAGGGGTTGTTGCTCCTTCAGGGTTACCTGCTCGGGGTGATGGACAGGTATATTGGCTGTGGCTTTCCCTTGCACCATGACCTTCTCTTGTGGTACCTAAAATAGCCCATGGGAAGAGGCTGTGGTGTTCAGGAGGTGATGTTGTGCCTGGTTGTGGTGCCAGGCTTGGGAGGTGCCTTCATTCCGAGTGCCACCTCCTGGCTGTGGTACCTACCACACCAGCTTTCTGATAGGGCTTGCCAACCCCCATCTAATAGCCCCCCAGATCCTTGCTTCTAATCTCCAGGTGCATCATTATAAATCCGCACATTAAGATTTTAAATCCTCCTGCAGTCATGGGGCAAAATTTGTGAATAATTAGATCACTAATAATATGTAAAATCTGCTCTCCTTATCTCCCCCCACCATCCTTATTTTTTTGATTCTAGATCCACTAGCAGTTTATTAGTGATCTCTATCAGTTCAAGTGTGGGCACGTGTGAGAGGACTCGTATGGGTGGTGAACAGCCGGGCACCCTGCATTTAAAAAAAAAAAAAAATGACGTGTTTTGTTGCACGTGCAATTTGGTGCCCAGCTTGTGATGCCAGACATACCAACGCTGGTTTTACACTCCAGTAGCTGCTTAGAATTTTCTTCCTGAAAATGTTCAGGTACGTCCAGTTGATCTTAATGGGTGATCCAAGGACGTGTGCTGACGATGGACTGTTGGGTGTTCGGACAGTTGTGCCAACCTAAATCTTCCAAGTGCTGTTGAACTTAGAGGCTACAGCACGAGGCACCAGAGCATCCTGAGCCAGACTGAGGAGCTGTCACCACGTAATCTCCACTGACACCTTGTTGGCCTTGGGGACCACCAGTCATTGTTTGTGTGGGAGACAGGAGAGTGTGCTGTTGTAGGGAGCTTCAGGCATAACAAAACTATACAGCAGTCCAAAATAAAAGGATAATTATTGAAAGGTACTAGAGATACAAAACAATTCTAGACACAAAAGGGTCCCTGCCTTGTCTCTAACCCTCTCTAGATGAAAGGACCTGATCCTGCAAGCCCCAGAGCCAGGGGTGTGGGGCTGTTTGCCAGGGGTGCTTCCTGTGGCTCCTCAGTGTCAGCGGTGGTGCTCATCGGTGGGGTCTGCAGCTGCACAACACGCAGCCCCTGCTGGGTTTGGGGGGCTGGGGAGACCTGTGTGTAGAGATTGAGGGAAACCTTCTGTCTCCAGGGGCAGGTGAAGTTCAGCAGGTGGTGGGCAGCAGAGCTCAGGGAGGTCTGGGGGATGGGCCTGCTCTGCTGGGAGGCCTCTTTTGAAAAATGCCCTCAGTCTCCAAAGCAGAGCAAGGCAGCCAGGGTAGCTCAGTTTTTCTACTTTGGGGCTTTTTTCCCCCTTCATTCTGCCCAGCGTCAGAGCCTGATAGGAACTTCTCAAGTGGGGAAAAGTGCAGAACCTCAAAACAGAAGCGTAAGAGTTTTTCTTGAGTATAAAATTTCAGTCAATAATGTTCTGCTGCCTTATTGACATGAAAACAATGCCTTTCATGTGATACAAACATTTACTTGCTCCTGCTTACTCTACTCACCTTGTACAGAAATGCTGATTGCCATTGACTAATCAGTCCATTTTTGTATATTCTCATCAGACTCTTTCTTTGGCTGGAACAATCTGCACTGTGTGATGCTTGCATGTCTAATGATGTGTTACTGGCACCTTGTATATGCCTTGGTTACTTCACAACTAACAGTCTGGCCTCCAAGTGCATGCATTTGTGTAAATTATTGTTATAAAATATGAGATTTATTTGCTGGGTTTGTATCAATATAGGATATGTGTAAGATAGACATAAAGACACTGATAATTGCCATTTAATCACTGGCAGAAGACATTGTTCAGCTTGTATTTATGCAATCACTAGTTCTATTTAGGCTTCATAATGCCATGTCTATCTTTTAGTTCTGTATTTATTCAATTGCAGATTTGGTTTGCTAATTATATAATGATTAATTACAGTACCGTATAAAACAGTTAAGGAATTGTTTTTGTTATGCAATACAATTCTAATAATAAGTAGGAAATCTTTTTTTTTTTTTATTCCAGTGTTCCTGAAAGCTATAAATACCTTTATTCGTATAATGAAATTATTAGAATACTGATCAAACAACTTTATCCCCCCGATATTGATCTAATAATAAGCTCTCTACTTGGTTCTGAACCAAGCTTCAGAGTAATGGCAGTTGCTGTTGGAGTGCTAGGACCCAAAGACATAACATTTATTGTGTGTGTTTTAACATCTCAGGACACTGTCTCCTGCAAAGTCTCCATCTTCCTCCACTGGATCTATTGCTTCCAGCAGAAAATACCCTTACCCGATGCCACCGCTTCCTGATGAGGAGAAAAAAGCCAACAGGCAAAGTGCCAGGGTATGTGTCCCTCTCCTCGGGGTGTCTGGCAGTGCCTTGGTTGGCAGTAGGTTGTCCAAAGGAGAGGGGGCAGATCAGCATCTCTGACCCTGGGAGCAGCAGCGTCATCTCCTTCCTGCCTGAGGCCCTAACAGCGACCGGGGCAGCCTTGGTGGCTGTGGCTGCAGATAAAGCAGATATGTCTTAGGGCTACAAAGATGATGAGGGGCCTAGAACATCTCTCTTACGAGGAGAGGCTGAGGGACTTGGGGCTTTTTAGTCTGGAGAAGAGAAGGCTGAGGGGGGATCTGATCAATGCTTATAAATACTCAAAGGGAGGGTGTCAAGAGGATGGGGCCTTTTTTTTTTTTTGGTGGTGCCCAGGGACAGGACAAGAGGAAATGGGCACAGACTTGACTATAAGAAGTTCCACCTAAACATGAGGAGGAACTTCTTTCGTGCGAGGGTGGCAGAGCCCTGGCAGAGGCTGCCCAGGGAGGTGGTGGAGTCTCCTTCTCTGGAGACATTCAACCCCACCTGGACACGTTCCTGTGGGACCTGCTCTGGGTGGACCTGCTCTGGCAGGGGGTTGGACTGGATGGTCTCCAGAGGTCCCTTCCAACCCCATATCATTCTGTGATTCTGGGATATCCATTCAGGTTGCTCTTAAACCTGCCCTGAAGCCCAGATTTCACTAGTTGCCTTATTGCCTGAGGCAGCCCTGGAGCAGGCAGCACATCTGGATCTCCTCCCTCACCCTGCCAGGGGGCTGACCCAGCCAGAGACTCTCATCCGGGCTGGGGGGTGGCTGCATCCCAGCCTCATGGGAAGGTGACTACCTTGCAGTTAAGGAGGATGTGGGGGGCTTGTATCAGGCTCTTGTAGATGTGGAGGGACTTTGCTGCCCTGAGCCCACCCTGCCCCCCCAGAACTGTAGAGCTTTAGAGCTGTAGGACTTCTAAAGCTTTAGGTCATGTTCTGGTGTAGATGAAATGCCTCTCTCTGCTCTCTCACCCTTTTTTTCCAAGACAAAAAAGGAGTGGAGCGCTGCTGAGGGACCTGCAGGCTGCCACCCGCCTGTCCTGCTGGGGGCAGAATCATAGAATCATAGAATGGTCTAGGTTCGAAGAGACATTTGGGATCATCGAGTCCCACCATCTATCCTACTCTACAGAGTCCTCCCCTACACCATGTCCCTCAGCACTGCATCTAAACGGCCCTTAAGCACAGCCAGGGATGGTGACTCCCCCCCCTCCCTGGGCAGCCTGTTCCAATGCCCGACCACTCTTTGGGTGAAAAATTCCTTCCTAATGTTCAGTCTAAACCTCCCCTGTTGGAGCTTGAAGCCGTTCCCTCTCGTTCTGTCCCTAATTACCTGTGAGAAGAGCCCAGCACCAACCTCTCTACAGTGTCCTTTCACGAAGTTGTAGAGAGTGATGAGGTCTCCCCTCAGCCTCCTCTTCCTCACACTAAACAGCCCCAGCTCCCTCAGCCGCTCCTCATACGATTTGTTTTCCAGCCCCTTCACCAGCTTCGTTGCCCTCCTCTGCACTTGCTCCAGCACCTCCAGATCTCTCTTGGATTGAGGTGCCCAAAACTGGACACAACACTCGAGGTGTGGCCTCCCCAGTGCTGAGCACAGGGGCACAATCACCTCCCTACTTCTGCTGGTCACGGTATTTTTGATACAAGCCAGGATGCCATTGGCTTGAGCATCTCCCAGGCGCGTGTGGAGCAGAACAGCCTGGAGGAAAGGCTGCACGGAGGGTTCTCAGCCCTGGAGCTGCCTCAGGAACCGGCTCAAACCCACGGCAGACATTTGTGCTGCCCTGAGCAGAGTGGGAAATTACACTAATATTAGTTAATGGAGCTGTGAGGTAAAAGCTGTCCAATACAAAGCTGATGCAGCACTGACCAGCTGCAAGTCATGCTGGACTGCTTGAGATTGCTGACCTTGTGATCTTGGGAGCAGACCAAGAGCGTAGCCTTGGTGACCCAAGTAATGTAGATGCAGTTCCTCAGACAAGCTCCTCACAGTGTTTGGGTACCAGCCTGTTTTGTCTTGGTGTTCAGTGTGTGTTTGTGTTCCTCTTCCCCCTCTCCAGTTATGGGAGACATCCATCTAGCTGCACTGCTTTCCTGGGGTGACATCAGAACTGTTTACTTCGAATTTTATGGAAACTCAGTGCCGCTGAGTCATTGCACATTCATCTGCTCTTCAGACAATTGGAAAGATCAACAGAGACGCCCGTGATCACAGTGAGAACCTCCTCTCATCTGGAAGGGAAAAAAGCAGTCCTATTTTTTCTTTATTCCTTTTTTTTTTTTGCTGACTAGTATTTTATGGATGTGATGAACAACCGGAATCGTGGCAGGGGATAATGAGCCCGGAGGTGAGAAGGCTGTTCTGCACGATGAGAGATGCTCCTCCCCAGAGCCCCAGCTGCAGCCCGGTTGCCAGTCCCACCAGGGAGAGGTTTGTCCTCTGGTTTATTGCAGCCCCGAGTCAGAGCAGGACGGAGCGGGGAGCTCCCGGAGAGCCCACCTGATGTAAACCTGTACGCTGTATGCATGAACCTTCTGTTCTTTGCTTTCCACATGTAAGGGATAAACAACATACTGTAATAGAAATTAGCATGCAGGAATAAGAAATATAGGAATTTTTTGTGACAGGATTTCAAACTTTGAAAGGCAACTATTTGACACAAATGTCAAACAAACAAGGATTATATATATATTTTTTTTTTTTACCTTATATGTTTATAATCTCAGTATACAGATTGTATATATGTAAACATTTGATAATGTCAAAAATAGCTGTTATACATAAGTGTATTTTGCCAAATGCCTAAAGAAACAGTCATGACTAACATCATCACACTCCAGATTTTCTAATATTACAAGTAGGTATCTTTGGAAATACAGAAAGTACAGTACTGTAAACCCGTGTGTCTCAGAAACTGGTGTTTGACCCAAATCTATACGATCTTCTCGGTATCTTACACCGTCTGGACAATCTCAATTGCATGGTAGGTGGCAGGAACCAGGACAGCAGCACCTTGTCTTAAACCATCGTGAGAGGAACCGGCCCCAATCGGTTTCCAGTGAGGTGACCGGTGCGTCCTCTCACCAGGAATGACTCAGCAGACAACAGAGTCTCTGAGTAATGAGCAGTCCCAGCTTCCTAGACATTTCGGAATGCTTCTAAGCCATCAGCTCAGGATGTGGTGATGTGAAGTCCTTCTGGTGGGAGTCACTGTGTGTTTCCAATAGGGCATTTGGGAGACTGTTTCAGAGGGGGAGGCGCAGCTTTACGAGCAGCAGAACGATTTCACTGCGCTGGATAATCCCTGCCCAGGGCAAGGGGCCACTTTGATTGCTGTCTCTTCTTGGTGACTGGAGTTGCCTTCCCCGCGCGTTGGGATGCCGTGCTGGCTGCCCCCGAAGCCCCCTTAGCAATTCTGGGGGCGTTAAACTGAGCACAAGTGAATTTAGCCTGAGGAACCGAGGGAGGGGAAAACAAACCCTTTGCCGTGGAGCTGTTAGTCTGGTGTATAAGGGATGGTTAGATTGCTAACACCGGAGACTCCTGAAAGTTGTTATAAAGCAAACACCCTTTGATTGGGAGTTTTCAGTCAGTAAGAAACTGGACCCTATTAATTCAGAATTTATAATTCTCCAGTTTTCTGAAATTGACTGTTTATTAGCTTTGGGTAGTAGCTTTGCAGAGCAAACCACCTGACTGTGTGTGGTGCAGCTGAACACCTTGCCCAACAGCCACGTGGTCAATTAGATATTATTGTGATGGGAACATCTACGGTGTTTCTGAATCTTCTACCTCTTTCATGTATTTCCTTTAGTAATTGAACCCGACACTTGCAGCCTTTTAATATATTTTTTTAACTTTTAAGTCTCGCGATAAAGTCAAATATATGTAAGAGTAAATTAAGAAATGTTTAAAGATGTCATCAGCTGTAAAGTATGTAAGATTTTTAGAAACGCTATATTTTATGTATTAGATTATGACAAAATATTGGCCTTGGAGTTCAAATGATTTTCCTTCCCAGTCAACAGGTTTTGGTAAGTATTTTGGAGAAGGACAAAGAGGAGTGAGTACAAGTAGAAGCAGACAGACCATCTGGAAGGAGCCGGTCACTTGAGATAGCTTTAGGAAAAGATTCTGCACTTTTGTGAAGAGTAAATATCCATCAGCACTGAAGAATATTTTTTTGCAAAGATTTATTCAGAGTGTAGGTAACTGGATTAAAGGTAGTTGGCAGCACGTAGCTCATGAAATTAGGGCCTGGGCCATAACTGCTGGAAATTGATATGGTTTTTATTGGCTTCACTGGAATTTGAGCAGGACCCTGAGGAGTTCACCCACGTTAGGACATGATGCTGAGCTGCCCGCGGCTCTGTCACCCTGTGGAAGCTGCTTTTCCCTCACGTATTAGTATCTTGTCGTTAGTAACTGCACTGCTCATCAGGTGCCTTTTCTGGTGTTTGTTTGGAAACAGACTGGCATGTAATTTCAAATAATCCTGTTAGATTTCTGTGCGTGTTTTATGTTTAGCACTGTTTACTCTTCCCTTTCCATTTTGCCTTATCAAGAAGCAGCAAGATTTGATTTGACTGAACCGGGTGGGACCTGCTGGCTCTCTGTGTGGTGTGTGTAGCTGCTGCTTTTGCAAACACATGGCTCTCCTGGCTGTATTTTCCACGCAGTGTGTACTTACAGCTTCTCTCTTGTTTTGGTGTAATTCATTTGTAGCGTACGATGGTGCAGTTCTGTGTGTAGTGTAACCCTTAACAATCACTGGCACATTTGGAGATATGTAGTGACTGGAAGTCTAGTTTTGAGCACTAAGTTTAAGTTAAATAAATATTTACTTTCACGTTGATGGTCTAGAGTGAGAACATCACAGGACTTGGGTTTTTTTGCAAAATTCTTCTGAAGAGAATTTTGCTTCAGGTTGGTAACTGGGAGATGTTGTTGCACAAAACCTGAACTGGTGGGGCTGCGTGAGCCTCCAGAGCCAGTGGGGGTCACAGAGAGAACGTTTGCTGTGGTCTCCTGCTTCTAAAATGCAGCGTGTTGGAAAGCTGACAGATGGTCAGCCTCGACCATCGCAGATGTTGTGACCCGCTGCAGTTAATTACACTGGCAACAGCAATATAAATTGCCGCATAATACCTCATCCCTCCAGAATAGAGTACTTGTATTGTCAATAAGATAGCTCAGTCATTTTCACTCAGTAGACTCATGCTTTTATTTTTATTTTATTTGTATTTTAATACATGAATTATTGCCAGCTCTGCTGTAGATGCCTCTTGAAGTGGGGACGTTACCAGTTCTTCTCAAATGGAAGTAACTGTCCATATGGGCACAGGACCTGCAGGACGAGCCATGCTAATGCCAGTGCTACATGTTTCAACATGGGACAAGAATCGTGTATAATTTAAAATAAAATTAATATGACTAACTGATGGAGACCGGAAAATAGAGATCAGATCCAAATAATGATGCTGCACAACGATGACATGGTTGGACAAGTAAAAATTTAGCTGCTAATTCTGCATTTGTTGACAGAAGAACTTCAGTAATCCATACTACAGGCTTTTGGGGAATACACTCAGGCGATATCCCAGGAATGGTTGTGATTGATAATTTACATGTAGTTTTGTTGCATTTGAGTAAGTAGTTTTAAGGAGGTTGTTAATTTTATACAGCCTATCTTTGCTTAAGTTGTGAACCTGTCACTACTTGCCAGTTCTCTAAAGATAGCTACTTCCTAAGAGCTCGTGATTTATGAGATGTAGAACCTGCTAAACCGATAGTATCTATCCTTAGATAGTTTTGATTGTGCTAATAAACAAGTGGACATTTGAGCTGTAGCCTGCATTAAAATCAGAAAGAAATGGTGTCACTAGCTAGTGTACTGAAGTCCTCTTACCTGAATCCCTCTTGCTGGTTTTAAATGGTTTGAGTGGTCTTGTCAGCACCAATGTCATAACCATTCTCAAAGAACAGGCACATGCACTATTGCAGACACGCAGACACCACCAATTCTGACCAGGTTTGCAGTCGTTTCATTAATGAATTCACTAATGAACAGGATAGGATGTAACGTGGTTGGACAAGATGATCTTCAAGGTCCCTTCCAACCTAGAAGATTCTGTGATTCTGTGAAAGTATGATGAGACTCCATAATCCCACAGGATAAGGAGTTGGCTCTTGGGACGTGCCCCCTCACCACATCCCAGAAGGCTCACACTCGGTGAGCAGCTCAGTGTCTCCTGTTCCCTGCCACCCCTTTGGCTCCCGCTGAAACACTCCCTGAGTGACACTGGCAGCCACTGGCAGCCTCTCGTGGTCACCAGCTACGGTCACAAAGCTGCTCCGTTTGTCACCTTTCCAGGATCAGGTCCTTCCGGGCTGTTAATGCATCTCCTCTTGGCACCGTGGAGGTGACGGGGCCTCGTGTCAGTTTGTGCTGGTGAAGCCATTATGGTGGCTCAGCCATCCCGTGTCCCTCTCGCATCCTGGTGGTGTTGAAGGCTTAAATCCAAGAGCCTAAAAGTTGTGCTGTGTCCTGTTTCTCTTGCTCCAAGGCAGGAGACCATCCGTTTCTTTCTCCAAATTGGGCTGCAGTTTGTGCTGGTGAAGCCATTACGGTGGCTCGGCCATCCCGTGTCCCTCTCACATCCTGGTGGTGTTGAAGGCTTAAATCCAAAGTTTGTGCTGGTGAAGCCATTATGGTGGCTCAGCCATCCCGTGTCCCTCTCGCATCCTGGTGGTGTTGAAGGCTTAAATCCAAGAGCCTAAAAGTTGTGCTGTGTCCTGTTTCTCTTGCTCCAAGGCAGGAGACCATCCGTTTCTTTCTCCAAATAGTTAAAGTACCCGCAGCAGAGTGTTTGGGCTGTTGGCAGCCACAGTGTGAGGTTATTTACCTCATCGTTAAAGAGCTCAAGCATCCTGGTTGCCTCTGAAGCACCCACCAGACTGTTTGCGTGGCTTCTGAACCATGTGAGACAGCAGTCATGTGGAATTTGACTTTGATCAGGTATTTGCTGAAGACAAATACGAGTAGGTACCATTTGTTGTTGTGTGACTGCCCGGGGGGGTGACACTTCTGTGTGTCCTCTGTGACTGTTGTCCTGACAGAGTGGGGCAAGACAGGGACCGGTGGCTGCAACACAGATGGGACTCTTCAGTGATTTCAACAGAAAGTTCAAAAAAGCTCCCTGTCGTCTACCCTAAAAAAACTTCTCTGTCCTGAGCATTTTCCAAGTCACCTCACAGAAAACACTCCTGGTGCCTGGAGCGTGGAGGCTGATGTGACCCAGAGCTCCAGGAGCAGAGGCTCACACACCCAGCACGGGGCACCTTCTCACTCCACAAGTTTCGTGTCTCTCTTTAGAGAAGCACCGTAAGAGTCAACATCCCTCTCAGCCAAGTAACCAAAATGACCCAGAGCTCCAGGAGCAGAGGCTCACACACCCAGCACCTGGCACCTTCTCATCCCACAAGTGTCGTGTCTCTCTTTAGAGAAGCACCGTAAGAGTCAACATCCCTCTCAGCCAAGTAACCAAAACAAGCAGTAAAAATAAGCTCAGGACACGGAAATGGGGTTATTTGCTCACACTTGAGAAACTCTGTGCCCGACTCCGAAATGGGCTCCTGCAGCCAGGCCTGGAGGGGTTGGTTCCCTGAGATCCAGCCTGCGCCACTTTCACAATCACTTCAGCTGAGCCGGCTTCAAACTGGTTAAAAAACGTTCTGCTGCGTAGACAGGCTGTGATTGTGCTGTAAGTTGGAAGGGGATGAGGAAAGCAAGCACAGAGCAGTTAAAAAGACACACTCTCTAAGGGAGCAGTAGAGGTGTCTTATGCTATTTTTTATGGCTGAAGCATAAAATGTCACAGCAACAAGCTTTTTTTTTTTTCCCTGTATTCCTCTGACTAAAGAAAAAAATAAAAGTTTTGGTTAAAAAAAAAGTATCTTAACACGAGGCCTTAAGACCTTATATATTCTAACTTAGCATGGAGAGTCTATTTTTACAACCACGCTAGAAGTTCTGTCTCTAGGCCTGAGTGACCCTGCAGGTGGAGCGGTGCTGGCAGCTCAGCGGGCAATAGCCCAAGGCTCTGCCAACAGGAAACGCTGATTTATTTTGGTTATTGGTCCAAGGACTCCTGCTCCCTGCCCATGTAGAGACTCTGCGTATTTTATGCTTGGAAATACAGCCCAGAACATATTCAAACTGTGAATATATAACCTGATTTTTCTTTTCTTAAGGGTAAAGATATATTACAATAGGTAGTGTTTTATATAGAATACAGTACTTATTTTTATTGTTGCATAAATGCAAAATATTTTTTTCAGAATAGCAAAGCATTACAGAATTTGTAATCAGCCTGAGAAAACACTATTTACAGTCTGAGCAGTTCTTTCAGCAAAGCTTTTGGGGTGGTACGTGCCAGTTGGCTCTGCCGGCTTCATTTTGTGCTGACGTTGATCTTTGGCATTGCTGGGGAAAAAAAAAAACAACCAAAAACCAAAAAAAAAAAAAAGCTCTTTCTTTTTTCATTCCTACTAGCCTGTATTGGTAGAACATTCAGAGAGGCGAGCAGAGCCGTGTCTCACTCCCAGGGCTGGGCTGGTATTAGCAAAAGCAGCCAGTCTGTCCCAAAATGTTGTCTTTGCCAGTCAAAACCCTACAGACCACGCCTGGTGTCACAGAGACACAGGACATTGACAAACAGCACAATGAAGCACCGGGCTGTGGAGCTGCCTGGCTCTGAGTGGGATATTCCACAACCGCGGGGGCGTGGGGCAGCTGGAGGGGATGGATCTGGCTTTGGTGTCGCTCAACAAACTGCTGCTTTTTAATCAAATCGAATAATTGCAATTTGGGGTTCTAAATTCTGCTCACTTTGAATAACAGCATCACCGTATCCACTTCGATGAGAGTATTTAATACAAATGCCTGTGGTTTTCAATGTTACTGACATATTGTAACATCAGTAAAGTGACTTTCAATGGCAAAGGCTGGTGTGTGGTTTGTTCTCCCCAGCCCTTACCTTCAGCCCTCCCTGGTCCCTAACGCTCTGCAGAAACAGACGCTGCACACACGGGGAAAAAAAAAGGGCTTGTGGCAAAAAAACCCCTACACGTTATTTTCCAGGGTTGAAAATAATCCTGTGAGCTTCCTGGCCTTTGTCTCAGGGTCCTACTGTTCGTAAGACAAATCTGAAATCCCTGTTCCTTAGGTTTGCGTGTCTGAGGGCAAGAAGAAATATTTAAATTCTAAACTATGTCCCATTGTTTGCACAGAGACTGAGAGCCCTCACCCCGCTCAGTGCCACGTGCTCATCCTTCCCCGTGTGCTGCTGGGGAAGAGACACCCGTGAGTCTGAGTTAGAGGGGACTGTTTCATAGAATCACAGAATGGTTTGGGTTGGAAGGGACCTTAAAGATCATCGATTTCCACCCCCCCTGCCCTGGGCAGGGACACCTCCCACCAGACCAGGTTGCCCAAAGCCCCATCCAGCCTGGCCTTGAACCCCTCCAGGGATGGGGCAGCCACAGCTTCTCCGGGCAACCTGGGCCAGGCTCTCACCACCCTCACAGCAAAGAATTTCTTCCTAATATCTAATCTAAATTTCTCCTCTTTCAGTTTAAAACCATTCCACCTTGTCCTGTCACTGCACTTCCTGACAGAGTCCCTCCCCAGCTCTCCTGTAGCCCCTTCAGATATTGGAAGGCTGCTCTAAGGTCTCCCTGGAGCCTTCTCTTCTCCAGGCTGAACAACCCCAGCTCTCTCAGCCTGTCCTCACAGCAGAGGTGCTCCATTCATCTGATCATCTTCGTGGCCCTCCTCTGGACCCATTCCAACAGGTCCATGTCCTTCCTGTGCTGAGGACTCCAGAGCTGGACACAGAGCTCCAGGTGGGGTCTCACCAGAGCAGAGCAGAGGGGCAGAATCACCCCAAATCCATGCCTCTCCAGTTTAGAGACCAGGATGTCATGTGGGACAGTATCAAACACTTTGCATAAGTCCAGGCAGACGACGCCTGTTGCTCTGCCCTTGTCTACCAATGCTGTAGCGCATTTGTAAAAGGCCACCAAATTTGTCAGGCATGACTTGCCCTTGGTGAAGCCATGCTGGCTGTCACCAACCACCTCCTTATTTTCCATGTGCCTTAGCAGAGATTCCAGGAGGATCTGCTCCATGATCTTGCTGGGCACAGAGGTGAGACTGACCGGCCTGTAGCTCCCCAGGTCTTTCTTTTTTCCCTTTTTGAAGACAGGGGTTATGCTTCCCCTTTTCCAGTCAGCGGGAACTTCAGACTGCCACGACTTTTCAAATATAAGATAAAGCAGCTTGGCAACTTCATCTGCCAGCTCCCTCAGGACTTGTGGATGGATTTTATCAGGTCCCATGGACTTAGAATCATAGAATGGTCTAGGTTGGAAGAGACCCTTGGGATCATCGAGTCCAACCATCTCCCCTACTCTACAAAGTCCTCCCCTACACCATGTCCCTCAGCACCCCATCTAAATTCCCTTAAACACAGCCACCCCCTCCCTGGGCAGCCTGTTCCAATGCCCGACCACTCTTTCGGTGAAAAATTCCTTCCTAATGTTCAGTCTAAACCTACCCTGTTGGAGCTTGAAGCCATTCCCTCTCGTTCTGTCATTAATTACCTGTGAGAAGAGACCAGCACCAGCCTCTCTACAGTGTCCTTTCAAGTAGTTGTAGAGAGTGATGAGGTCTCCCCTCAGCCTCCTCTTCCTCACACTAAACAGCCCCAGTTCCTCCAGCCGCTCCTCATATGATTTGTTTTCCAGGCCTTTCACTAGTTTCGTTGCCCTATGCCTGTTGACTTCTGCAACTTCAGATCCCTTAGATGGTCTTGAACCTGATCTCCTCCTATAGTGGGCAGTTTAGGTTTAAAGTGGAAGAGACAGAAACATTAATTTCCATGTAACCGAAATCCGTCAGCTATGAAGTTCATTGTTAAAGGGACACTTAGTGTATAAAATGACACAGTCTTCGTATGCTTAAAAGTGTTTTATGCAGTGACACAAACAGAGCAAGAATCTTACTGGAACGAGACCCCTGTAGGACAGCACTCTGCTGGAAGAGCTCTCTGCTGTGTTTTGCTGCATCCCTGAAGGTCTACCAGATGGTCTTACACTCAGTGCGTGGTGTCACAGACTTCACCTTGAGAACAGCTAGCTGTCACAGTAACTAACTTTAAACTGACTGATGTTCTAACAGACCAGTATAAGATGATCATTTCAAAAGCTCTTTTAAGTTTGTAGGTGTCTTATGCTGTCAAAGACAAAAGAATATGCATCATCTTATGTTATACAAGATACTGTTTAAGACAGAAAAAGGTAAGCCGAACTCCAGAAAAACTTACTGCATAATTTGTTATACATAGTGAATTGCAAGTTTATGAAAATAAAAACTTCTTTAATAGTCACAGGTTGAAAGTTAAAGACAACAGTATGTGAGTCATCTATAGTCATTGTCAAATTGAAAAAAAAAAGCAAGTGTGTAAAGCGATACCTTCATAAAATACGCAATTTCCAATATTGAAATACACGATCGTCGTAAGATTTGGCAAAGGAAAACACAAACTGGAATGTTAATCATGATCATCCACAGCTTCCTGCCTTTTGGTTTAGATGCTCATAACACACTGTATGAACTGAAAAGACAATAACCACTTATTAGATATATGGGAGAGAACAAGTAGTCATTTTTTATCCGAAAATACCCATTGTCACTACCCTTTTCTGTAAACAAATTCAGTCCATGAACTACAAAGCTTTGAAACTAAATACGAAAAACAGCTAATAGTTAATTAACAAAACCCCCTAAGAAGACTTGAATCTAGCGTTGCCCTTTTCCCCTGCAGATGTGGCCAGGAAGCCAAGAACTACAAGCCTGACTGAGTGCAGTTTGTGTCTGTCCCCACCTCCCCAGCCCCAGCCTCGCCTGGGAAAATTGTCTACCAAGCCCTAAAACAAAAGAATTAAAAAAAAGTTCCAGAAAGTGATGTTAGCGAGCAACGGAGCCCCTTAGATCTTCTTGAACCAAGTTGGTAAGAAGTCCAGACAAAAATGCACAACATTTCACAGAACTCTATAAAATACCTGAAAGCTTTTTGAGACAATACTCAAGTCCCAGAAGGTTTGTGCTCTCAGGTAACACCATAAGCATGGGGAAGACAGCAACAAGTTCCTGTCATTACTGTTTGTCTTGTTTTAAGTTTTTCTGTAGGTTTACCCTGTAACTTTAACTGATCCCTTTAAGTTCACTTACGTCATCATACTGGAAGTTCACAAAACCCTGCTGAGTTGCATCCCTGCTTCTAAAACATTCTGGAAAAATTAAGAAAGCAAAAAAGAAACCATGTAAGAATAATTACAGTTAATATTTAAAAAAAATAAAATGCATTGTGCTTTCATTAAATTCCCCAAGTTACACAAATAATTAATCAAGAACAGTGTAATTAATTCCAAGACTCAATTTCCACTTCTTCACTTTAATAACTATCCTATACTGCCCTTCACGTTCTGCTGATAAATACAGTTTACCAATTTTGATAACATAACTCTGGAATAAATGCTGCATTAATTTTAAGTCCCATTTTTCAATGGGGATTTAAAAATTATAATCTATAATTGTTCCAGTTCTGCCTGTAAACTCTATTGAAAGAAATCTATTTTGTGTTACCTAAAAGTTGATCTTGAGATAACCGAGTAATCGCATTTTATTATATAAAAATATATTATGAGATCAACGTGGGATGACAGCAACACGGATATAATGCAACATACCAGTAAGAGCTCTGAGTTTCACACAGCAGGCAATGTAATCATCAAACGTGATCTTCCCTTGAGTGCTGTATCGCTTTGTGATCGCAGTCACTGCCTGTGGGCTCAGTCTAAAGCCTATTTAAAAATAAAAAAATCTGTATTGAAGAGACAGGTAAGTTCACAGAATCTCAATACATTTCTAATTGGCAGTATGTGTCCGTTACTTTGGGAGGGTAACGGGTACTGGGAAATGTTTTAAGTCAGTGTCAGAAGCAAGAACTTTTCAGAACTTACCCATATTCATCAAGGCTTTCTCCAGTTCTTGACGATCCACTGTTCCACTTCTGTCATTGTCAAAGCTTAGGAAGTGTTGCTTCCAGCCGTTGACCACAGCCCAGAGTTCTTTAAACTCATTAAATCCCAGTGTGCCAGACATATCCCTCTGATTCCAAAGCTAAGAAAATCTTTCTTAACTTAAAAAGTTAAAAATTCAAATTTCCATTGAAGAGAGGGCTTTTTTTTAGTCACATGAAGTTAAAACTCTTTCTTGAAGGTAAATATTAAAAATATTTGACTATTAGAAATTTTTCTGGTAGAAAACTAACTACAGCACATCACATCAGAGAGATAATACCACCAACCAAAACCAAAAGTCAGAGAACTTGCTCTCCCCACTTCCTCCCAGTGAAACCTGATAAAACTATTTGCTCTTTGTGAATTTAACTTAGTTTACACCCTTCTCTTTTACCTGCCACGATGTATTTTTTACCAATAAGATACATATCCAAAATAAAAATAGATGCCAAAAGAAAAATTACTTTAAGTTAGAATAGTATCAGTGCTCTTGCATTCTAAGCAGTTTGTTCAAAGTGAGCTAACAACCCTTTCAGTTTCATTTCTGTCTTTTTAAACAGCAAAGTATTTGAACATGACATTTCAGGTTTTATAAAAAAAACTCAATTAAAAAGTCCTATGGCGGAATGCCGTAATACCATCTCATCAGATACTTGAACCTGATCCATTCAAGGAACAGGGTTTAGGGGGAGTTATATTGTATTTAGGCTGTGTAGTACAAATGCTTAATTCATTAGGAAGGTAATCTACAATGCTGTCCCATTTCAAAACCAGAACAAATGATTTGCACAAAACTCTATTCTGTGCTGCCAGACCTGACTCCTCCTGCATTCAATGGAGAAACAGTCCCCTGGGCTCAGAGGGACGCCACGTGTTGTGAGAAGATCAGTCACTTATTTATTACAATTATTATTTCACCCAGTCACAGAATCACAGAATCCCATGGGGTTGGAAGGGACGTCTGGAGATCATCTAGTCCAACCCCCTGCCAGAGCAGGGCCACCCAGAGCAGGTCCCACAGGAACGTGTCCAGGCGGGTTTGAATGTCTCCAGAGAAGGTGACTCTACCACCTCCCTGGGCAGCCTCTGCCAGGGCTCTGCCCCCCTCACAGCAAAGAAGTTCCTCCTCATGGTTAGGCGGAACTTCTTCTGTTCACGTTTGTGCCCATTTCCTCTTGTCCTGTCCCTGGGCACCACTGAAAAAAGACCAGCCCCATCCTCTTGACACCCACCCTTTAAGTATTTTTCTAGGTCTTGATCAGATTCCCCCTCATTTTTGTCTCCAGACTAAAAAGCCCCAAGTCCCTCAGCTTCTCCTCGTAAGAGAGATGCTCCAGCCCCTCATCATCTCTGTAGCCTCTGCTGTCCCCTCTCCAGCAGTTCCCTGTCCTTCTGGAACTGGGGAGCCCAGCACTGGACCCAGTGCTCCAGATGGGGCCTCCCCAGGGCAGAGTAGTCAAATGAGTAAGAAGGCAATTTTGCAGTTCCCAAATTATAATGATCATAATACTTATCAAGTAAGAGCTGAATGAGAACTCCAAAGCATTTCCCAAATTTTGGGCACCCTCTCATCTTTGCTTATGTAATGCAAAAATGTTTACATTTCATAGTAAAGGATACATCCAGCATTGAGATCATGAGTCTGCAAGTCTCTAAGTTGAAAGCTGTTTAAATTAGAAAAAGGAAAAGTAAGTTAAATTATAAGAATGAATTTCAGTTTTGTTTATCTAAATGTAACATTTTAAATTCTGTTTTATCTTATATTAATAATATATTATAATGTATAAAATATTAGGTAATTGCTTCCACTGTATACCGCCATACCATATTTTCATCCAAATATGAGCTTTTAATCATTACTCGTTAGAAAAACTGACAGCAGACAATCTGGAGGCAATTCAAGTTATATTTAAAATTGATTTGCTCGTATCTCAATCCATAAAGGTTTTGGGTTTCAGTAAAAGTGGTCATTTATATTTCACCATAAGCACCACTTGAGGAAGCCAGTTTTACTCACAGCAGCTCGACTTTGTAAACTGAACACTAGGTATCCCCACAGAGAAGTCCTGCCACAGAATTTTTTTGTCAGTATCAAAGCTCAATTTAAAAACAAAGCAAAACACCATTTTAAGAATTGGCTGTCCATTACAAAACACAACACTTCAACTCCACAGCTCAGCAGTGGGGAACTAAGGAGAAGGCAAATCTTACATGCGCAGAACTGAATACAGAGAATTTATATTTCAAAGCAGTCCTTATGGAAAGAAAGCCCTTCCACCATGCAAATAAAGAACCCCAAACCTCTGCAGAAGGCACAACTGCAAGCATTTTCTAGTAGATGGCATAAGAATTGGTATGCTTTAGGGTCGGGGGTTTTTTTGGTTTATTTAAATCATTAACTTACGTTTGTACGCTCCTGCAATCCCTGACTGGGTGAGACATCTCTGCAGCTCATCAGCATCTATGTGTCCATCCTTTCGACAACAGAAGATGTATCAGCTATTGTTTCAGTTCCCTCTCCCAGGCTGGTTATTCCCAGTACCCACTCCCTTTTCAGTGGCATTAAATTAGCTACCCCTTCAAAAAACAACTGATGACCTGTCTGCTATATGACAGAAACTGCCTTTTATAACCCATATCGGTAATGATGTTTCCTCAGTTGATATTTTTGCAGTATATACTAGCTTTCCCATCTAGTGAAGTACTAAAAAAATGAACAGGATTGGAAGGTTTGTTCTAAACTTAACAACTTTAAAAAAACCCAAACTCGCATAAAATATTGGAAGTATATACTTGAGAGCCAGCTGCAAAGAAACCAAAGCATAAAATTTTGAACAGAACGATAAGTTTCCTTAAAGTACTAATTTTAACGTAGTGGGTATTGTAGTCACGTTAGGTTATAGGTTTATGATGTCACTGCTACAGTAGGAAACCTAGAACCCAGACCATACATACCCACTTCTCAAGACAGACATAAGACTTACAAATCTAAAAAACCCTTGGTTTTGGGTAATAATAACCTGCTAGCAGAATCAAACAGAAGCAGAAAGCAAAGAACTTTAAAAGAAAAAGAAAAACAAAGCAAACTCAGAAAAGATACCTATCTGCATGTTTTGGGAAATGACTCGCTTCCAACGCATCCCGCTCGGGGCCAAATTCATGGAAAAGCAACGGGCTGTTAGAAATGGACCTGGAATTCCAAGTCACATTCCTCACACACCCAACGTGAAGTTTAGTTCACAGAGAGTCTGAGTATAATTTAACCTCATTCCAGGATGGAATATTATATCTGTAGATATAAAAAATTATGCAAATTTTGTAAAGCATTAACTAGGGAAAATAGTGTTGCTTTATATTTGAAATAAATTTACTTGCTTCAGGGTCTTCCTAATGTGTTTAAATCCAGTGAGCCTTTTTTTTTTTCTTCTTTTCTTGAGATATACTACTAAATATCATAGTGGGAATGGCACAGCCAAGTAACTTTCTGAAATGAAGTATCATTATTTATAAGACAAATGTTAGTTAGCCTGTTAAATGGTATTTTACAAGGTCTGAAAAAAAAGACCGGCAACTTTTTGATTCTCTGTAAAAATACTGGCAGCTAAACCCCAAATTGCTTCCAAACTATTCCATCAGTCTAACTACACAGCTGTACTTAAAACTTTACATTAACAGGGAAAAAGAAAAAAAAAAAAAAGAGACATTTGAAATAGCCATGCATATTAAGCAGCAAATCTCTTCAAAGCCCCTGTGCCTTCTGAAACAAGGGCAGGATCTGCATAACTTTAAAATAGGCAGGAAGACAGAAAAGCATGATTTGTAATCACAATGAACATTACCGAAAAGATGCTTGGCTTCTTTTTTTTTTTGAAGTAGAATTTAAGCAGCAGTTAAACTAGACAAGACATAGGAGCTTTGTGAGCAGACTAAAAAAAAGAAAATTATTACTTCCTACAAAGACAGACTCAATTAATTTAATAAAGATTCTAAACAATAGTTTTGACTTTCTTATGTAAAGAAAGAAAACTACAATAGAGATCTTGTCTTGGAAGAATTAAACTACTACAAAGAAAGATCAGAGATAACAATGTATATTATATAGCCATAAAAACAACAGAGAGAGCAGCAAACCATAGCCAAAAGTTTTACTAATTCTACAATAAGTACTTATAGAAAACTCTGAGATGTGGCTTTTTACAGACTTCCACGATGGCTCTAAAAGCAACTGATAACTTATCTGCTCCGTTTCACTGCCTCCTTACAGGGTTTTTACTCTGCACAGCCACTTGTCTCTGAAAATGACTCTTCCAATTCCAAGGATAACATCCCAAAAGCTACCCAGTTTATTTCTGCAATAAGGAATGGTTTCTGCAAATAAAAAAAAATAAGAGTACTAACTTAAGTACTCTCAAGTGCTAACTTGATCATACCCACTAGCTCGCTGGTTCCCCAACTTCCAGTAAACATGCCTCACTTGAGAAACTTGGGAATGGTCTATGCTGAGGTCCAGCTTCTGCCACCCCGGGGCTGCAGCCCGTTTGCTGTTCTCTCCCTTTCTCTTTTCACTAGTTTACTCATGTTTTCCAACATCAGTTACCGGCTCCGCTGCTGGCTCCTGGCTCTCATCCAGGAGGCACTGGGATGCAGAGGCATCTCCACTGGCAGGCAAATCGTCAGCACGTGTGGCAGAGTTCAGCCTGGGCTCCACCTCACCTCCCTCACTACACACAGGTCCTTCCAGCGTTCTCCGTTACTACAAAAACATATGGTCTACATATTTTCATAAGAAATGTCAAACAAGTCATATATAGACTCCAGGATGCAATATTAACGCTTTAAAAGAGTAACGTAGAGAACAAAAGTAACCTGAATTACAGTCTTAAACTGGGAATTTAAATATCAGCTAATGTTGCTGAATTTAAACTTTCATGTTGTGGTTACATCTACCCATGGGTAACAGCTGTAGAAGCTGAAATTGGGTTTGCACTCATCCTCAAAGTGTGCAACAAACAGCTATACACGTGGCCAACAAAGACAGAACTTCAGTTCAATTAACCTAGCTTATTTGCTCCTAAACTTTGTAATACAGTTAAAGAATTTATTTCTAGTAACATCCATAATCATGCAAAAAAAAAAAAAAGTAAAAGAAAGAATACATGCCACAAAATCACAGGAAAGAAATTAAAAATGCAGTGCAGAATGACAGGGAGGAAAAAAGAAAGGCCTCGAAGATGTGAATGCCTTTTCCTCGAACAATCATTCTATCTTACCAGCAAACCCAAATATATTGGCACAACTCAAGATTCTTTTTCCATTTGTAAGTCTATTAAGATCATGTAAAGATGCTCTTTCACATTAGCATTCTGTGCTTTTAGCCAGGCCTTCTCCACAGCCCGTGTTTTCCACTGTTTCTGGCTTCTTTCTCCTGAAGCTGGCAGCATTCCTCAACCCAGAGCTGAGCCACAATTCAGTTCCAACACTCCACGTAACTATATAGTTCCTACATAAACTTACAGAGGAAATCCAGGGTGCATATGCATATATGTGTGTATGTATCTGTAGACATTTATATACACACTATATAGAAACCAACATTATTCAAACTGCATAGTTACTGTGTGTATATAGCTATATGGTCTAGCTATACAGCTACATATAGCAGATAGGCTCAGTAAAACCATTCTGTTCCCTTTTAAATTTGAAACAGCAGTTTTCCTCCCTGCAAATATTAGGCTTTCCTCTACATTAAAAAGCGAATGTAGAAATTATTCCCCAGGAAAAATAAAATATCCAAGAAATAAGTTTATAATATATAAATTTACCTGCCCTGCTACTGCAGCAAAATAACCATACAAAGGGTCCTGAGCTTGTCCAGGGAATGCTGGTCCTCCCGGAGCTCCTCCGTACTATAGAAATCAAGAAGAAAATTAATTTTTAATCAATAATTCAGTTAAGAAACTGCAGTGTTTCCACTTAAGAATCAACTTGTGCTTTTACATACACATTATGCAAATAAATCAAACAAAACAACAAAAAAAGAACCCCTTAAAAAAACCAACCAAAAAAAAAAAAAAAAAACAACCAAAACCCAGGACACAATCTTGGTGTCGAGATACTAATTTATTATAATTTAAGCAGATCAGTGTAAAACCTTGCACAGGAGCAGTCCACTGATCTAGATACAGTCTGGTGTATCTCATCAAGGTTGAATTTGAGTCTATGACAAGCAGAAAATGGGGAAATGCAGGTAACACCACTAAGGCACTGCATTATCTTCCTTTCCGCTTCAAAAAAGTTGAGCGAGAAGGAAAACACTTGGGAGAATATCTATTAGGCACGGAAACTTTTAATTAAAATTGACTCTTAAGTGAAAACCACGGGGCGACAGCAGTTAATCCTGTTTGACTGCACTGACCCAACAAACCCGTGCAGCAGAGTCTGCACCTCGCTTTTACCGGGACAACGCCACGCCTTGTATTTCTGGAGACGGCCGCAGTCTGATTCGGTGTAACCTGGGTCTCCGAACCCGCTCCGTTATATACGGGCCCCACGCCGGGCTCGCCGGGGGAGGCTGCGGAGCCCACCCGGGGAGCGGCACCCCCTGAGGCGACTCCCGCCCCGCCGCTCTGCCTCCTTCCTTCCCTCTCACCGCCGCGGAGCCCGGAGCCGCCCCGGGCGGCACCTCCCCGCCCGGCAGAGCTCGCCAAGGCAGCCCTGCCCGCGCCGCGGGGCCGAGCGCCGCCACATTCCCCAGCTCCGCCCGGAAGCGGCCCAGGCCGGCGCCCCTCAGGGCGGGCGGGACGGCCCGGAGGGCGCCCGGGTTCGCCGGGAGAAGGGAAAAAAGCACCTCGGGCGCCATCGCCCCGGCCTCAGCCAGGCTGCCCCCGAGCCCAGGCCCAGCGCGGCCGCTCCCCTCCAGCCCCCGCTCACCCCGCCCTGGTAGAACCCGCCGCCGGGCGCCGGCTGCCCGGGAAACGCCATCTTCGGCTGGCACCTGCCCCCCGGCTTGTCCGGCCTCGCCGGGGCGCAACCACCCGGCCAGGAAGGGGGGAACCGGGATGGGCCGCGGGCTCCGGAAAAGGCCGGGGCTGGAAGCTCTGCCACCCGTGCGGGGCAACCGGCGGCCTCCGGTCACCGGGGCAGCCGAAGAGTGCAAGGCATCGCCGTGGCGAGCTAAGGGATCACCTCTTCCGTCCCGTCCACACACCTCCCCCTTCGCCCCCCCATCGGGGTGGTACCGGCCGCCGGCGCAAGGGCGGCCTTTCCTCCCCTCCCCTCCTCTCCCCTCAGTACCGGGCCGGCAGGCGCTGCCTCAGGGCCCGCCCGTGCAGGAGCAGCGCGTTGATCGCCTGCCCCCGCCGCGCCCGTTCCTCGCCGCTGGAGGCTGCGGCGTCAGGCGCGGGGCCGGTGGGAGGTGGAGGGAGGTGGTTTCGGCTCGGCCACGGCGTGTCCCCGGCCTGTGGGACGGGCACGGGGGTACCCGCCGCAGGGCTCGGAGGGAGCGGCGGAGGGCGGCCCGGAGGCTCGGTCCCCGGCACAGCCCGGGGGGCGGCTGTGTCGCTGGGACCCGCTGCGAAGGCGCCGAGGGTGTTTACCGGGGAATCGCCACCGCTGCGGATGCCAGGCTGGTTTAAAATCGCCCACTCGTGATTTGCAAAAATCACTGAAACGCCTTGGAGGGTGAAGGAAATGGCTCAGCCCGCCTTTGCGGGGCTCCCAGTGTTGCTCAACTGAAAAGGGAGGACATGTTAAGACTTGTTGGACGCAAGCCCTGGGAGGCACAAGATAACAGTCTTGCTTAGAAGAAACAAAAGAGTGCCCACTTTGCATTGAACAATAGGTCATCTTGACACCGTTTTACTAACTTGAGATAAACTTGGAAACTGTTAACCGGCAATTAGTGCGTGCTAAACTTGGGAACTGTTAACCGGCAATTAGTAAGTGCTTAAGGAGTCAATCAGTCATCAAGGGACGTGCTATCCCTTGATCTGAGTGTATTGTTTCTGATATGTATAGAAGTAGAAGAGAAAGCCATAATAAATCGACAACTTGCTTGCATCAAGCAGTGTCCCGTCTCTCAATCGCAGCAGGAGGGGTTCAAGGCTGGGATGGACGGGGCTTTGAGCAGCCTGGTCCAGGCGAGGTGTCTCTGCTCAGGGCAGGGGGATGGAACTAGGGGACCTGTAAGGTCCCTTCCAACCTAAACTGTTCTGTGATTCTTAAAGCAGGCCAGAAAGCCCATAAAACCAGTAGTTCGTGCACATATACCATCTGTATCGCAGAACGCACTGTTACGGTAAACACATACTCCTTTTTTGGTACTGTAGACTTGGAAGTCTTAACATCTATCCCTGGTCCCAAATACAGGCATAGATAAAATAGAAAATAGATCTTAGGTCTGTAGGTCCAAATTTTTCTGGAGTGGGAAGGAATGAGGGGGAACGCCGGTGTCCCACTGGAGCTGGGAACCCATTTGGTGCTGGGGCATACCAGTACAGCCCAGTCTGGGCTTTGGGAGATCAGCTGGAGGAGCCTTGGCTTTGATTCAACAGCTTCCTCTGGGCTGGAGAAACTCCCTGGTACAACCCATGCTTTAATCCTGCCCACTCTTCCTTCTCTTCAGTGCCCCAGGAAGCAACGAGAGCTGAAATGAACACGGCTTGATCCAAGATGGACTGTTTTTTTGCAGATTATTAAGCTTCCTTATGTTGAGAAGTATTTAATGAAGTTGCAAGAGGGTGAGAAATTATTTGCTAGGGTTTGTATGACTGAAACAGATCTACTGATTGAGACCTAGCGGGGTAAATGTTCGACTGTCAGAAATCTGAAAGCATAACATTTTATCTTCTGTTAGCATAATTTCTGAAGAACTTTATGAATTTGTGTAGGACCTTATAAGTTTAATCACGCTAATTTATAGTTAACTTCTAATTGAGAGTGAGTCACCCTTCTCAGTTTCTAAGCCATCCAGTAAACAGAGCTTTCAGACAGTATCTGTATAGTGTACATTTTTATTATTGCAGCACCAACTACACTGATACCATTAATAGTTGCCAGCAACGAGGTGACAAGTACCGTGGTGGTCTTTGAAATTTAGTATTCAGCAGAGTTGCCGAATGAAAGAGACAAATCATTATTTAACACATCATCACACAGGATAACCTATATGAAGCTAATCTTTTCAGGGCAGCTGAGAAACAAATCTGTGAATCTGGCTGGCTTTTCGGCTGAAGAAATAACTATCCCACAAGAGTATTTGAATAAGCAATGTTGATATCAGGGTGTGCAGTGGTCAAATAGTTTTATTTAGCAGACTTAATCACGTGCGGTGCAGGTTATGGGAGACATTGTGCTGAACCTCGTTTACAGTACATATATTAACATCTGGGCAAGAAGCCTTCCTAATTAAAATAGGATCTAGGTACAGTGATAAAAATATTAAAAGCTGGAAAAATTGAAAATAAGTGGCAAAGAATGTAAGTGGTAAAATGTGAAGAGTTATACACCAATAATCAAAATGTCAAATAGTAGGTATGTATTGCCAATAGCTTAAAGCTAATAAGAAGGAATTTTTAACTCCTTTAGTGAGAAAAAAACAGGTAAGATTCAAACCAGTTGGTAGATAAATTTACTAAAACTGTACAACTGTAGCTGTATAGAGAAAAACAGGTAAGAGTCAAACCAGTTGGTAGATAAAGTTACTAAAACTGTACAACTGTAGCTGTATAGAAAAGGTAGACGTGTTTCATAAGCTTGGGTGGGTATTTTTTGTACTTGAACTCAGCATAAATACCTAGTCATCCTCCATTTGCAGTGCTTCCACAGAGACTACTGGTAATGCACACTGCACTCAGTACTTAATATTTGCAAGATTTAAATAAGCAAAAAAGCTCGGAGACAGATGTAACAAAGCGATGTATTTCATATGTTTTTTTGGGTAGGTATTTTCTTTGCACTGGTGCATTTGTTTATTCAGTTTCTATCTGAGGAAAAGGAAGGCTGCAAAGGGAGGCTGTTTGAGGAGATTAATGACTGCACATCTGCCTTCCGAAGGGCTACTGAGCTGTGAGTCCCAGTAAGATCATCGCATTAGTAATCGAGCTGTGGTAACCTTTTGAGTCCCAGTAAGATCATCGCATTAGTAATACCCCAGTAAGAAATCTGTATAGAATAAATAGCTACTGATTTTGCAGATGTGAAAGACTATGCAGTCCCTCTAGTGGGAAGACTGAAGTCAAGCAACACAGAATGCTAGTACTATGCCTTTTTTGAGATACTTAAGTATATTTTCCTAAGAAAAGACCTAAGTAAAATAATGTTGTTTAGAAAACGAAAATTATGCGGGCAGTTTACATTCCATAGCCTTTGCTGGATTCTTTGCAATTTGAAGGAATTCAAAACAAAGATGTGGCTTCGCACGGAGTGGATGAGCACACAATCTGCTGGATCAAGCACTGGCTGACTGGAAGGTCCCAAAGAGTTGTGCTCAGTGGATGTACGTCCAGCTGGCGGCCGGTCACAAGTGGTGTGCCTCAAGGCTCAGTGTTGGGACCATTTCTGTTTAACGTCTTTATTGATGATCTCGATAAGGACATAAGGTGTAACATCAGCAAGTTTGCAGATGACACCAAGTTAAGCAGGAGTGTTGACTCCCAGGAGGACAGGGAAGCTTTGCAAGAGGATCTAGATAGATTGGATCACTGGGCCAATGCCAATGGAATGAGTTTCAACAAGGGCAAGTGCAAGGTCCTGCACTTGGGCCACAATAACCCCCTGCAGCGCTACAGGCTGGGGGAAGTGTGGCTGGAGCTGCCTGGAGGAAAGAGACCTGGGGGTTCTAGTTGACAAACGGCTGAATATGAGTAATAGACCGTTACTACCTTAAGATGTGATCACGGGTCCAATAGAGCGTTACTACCTTAAGATGTGATCACGGGTCCTGTTCCTCGTGCGTACCGCGCTCTCTCGCAGGGCACTAAGGCCAGCATAAACCCACTGCAAGTCACACTTTCTGCTTGGCCCCCTTCCCTCCCTCTGCCCCACGAAGCCTGTTCAGCCTTAACCCTCACACGGGCTCCCACACGATGGGAGAGCTGGGCCACCCTGACTGGAGAGCCTCGGGCCGCCCCGTCCTCCCCGTCGGGTCCCCATCTGGTGTCGTGGCTGGGAGCCCCATGGCCGTGTGCTGAGGCGTCACGGTTTTCCTGGCAAGCTGGGAGTGGAATTTGTCCTTTCCAGAACTGCAACAAAAGAAGCTAGGGAGGGGACAGGGAATTAAAAGTGTAAAGTTCAAATTTCCTGAACTGTTTACCTAGCAACTGGGAGGATAAAAACTTAAGAACAGGTATATTACTTAAGAAGGGACAAAAAATAATCTCCTTACCCTTTTAATAGCCATAACTTGAGAAGAGGCATACATTCAACCAGTGGAAAGGTAAATATGGTAGAGACCAGAATGCAATGCCTTGCTCAGTGCCCAGGATGAATGGTGCTCCACTGTTCTGCTGCTTTTTCTTCTCTTTGATACCACCCTTTCTTTTTCTATTTACTGCACATTATTTATACTCAGTTCTGCAGCCAGTTATTTTGTACAAGAATTTTCAGTAATAGCCAAGTTTTATGTTGGAATCATCATACAATGTACTTGTAAGGATAAGGGACAGAGGGAAGGCATTTCTGTCACTTTATAGGTAAAGAGAGTATGGAGATTAAAAGTTTCTATAAATTTTGATGGTCCGGTTTGAGCTACCTGAGTTTTCTCCAACCCCATATGACTTCCAGACTTGCTTCTCCCTCCCAACTCCAACCTCTTTAACAGATGGTTCAGTGGTGACCAACTTCCTTACTCCATACTCCTTCCCTTCTTTGTTTCCTCTGTGTTCAGCATGGTGGAAATTTTTCATCACTCACTGGGCAAAAGTATTACTGAAGGGCTAAGACAACCTTAATTGTGGACGGTGCAGCTAGTGAGGTTTTGGTGATGAGATTTTTGAGGCTAACAATCAGCTTTTATTCAATACAGTACAATAACACAACTTACCACCTCTGTTTCATTATAAATATAGCAGTTTGTGCTATATTTATAGCAGTTTGTCTTACATATATTCTGTGGGCATGAGATCTTTACAGAATTAAAGCTACAATGTAGGTTTTTTCAGTAACAGCATTAATTTCTAA